CTGAGCTCTGAGAGGACAGTGATTGTGGCTCATTCACCCTCTCACCGCCTCCCCCCCCACCCCCCCAATGCCCAGCACAGGGTAGTGGCTCTGGAATAGAAGTTGCATTGAAATGAACCATGCTCATAGGTAGGCCTCGAAGGTTACTCTCTTACCTCTGCACAAACTCAATGCCAGAGGAGCTGGCAAAGCCAGGGCCCTGGGGCTGCTCACTCCTAACCCATATGGACAGAGCCTGGGACCCCAGGGTTGCACTGTACACCCTTCCTAGCACAGAATTTCCCCAAGGCCCTCACACAGGCACCACCTCCAGCCCCTGCTGCCCTGACCACTGACCCACAGCCCAATTCTGAGAGCAAGACCCCTTTCAGACTGGACAAGCCTGGGGGCAGATCTCAGGACTTGCTTTGTCTGCTTTGAACAGACTCTGCTAGCCCACTAAAGGAGGCAGATTTTCCTGGGCGCCTGGAGATCTGCCCTCAGGCAGTGCTTCTCAGAGCCTGGTCTGCTGTATCAGAACCACCCAGGGTGCAGGTTAGTGCAGAGTCCTAGGCCCACCCCAGCCTTCCTGAATCAGAACTGCCGAGATGGAGCCAGAGAATCAGCATTAACAATAAACACTCCAGGGGCCAGCCCAGTGGTGCAGTGGTTAAGTGCACACGTTCCGCTTCTTGGTGGCCTGGGATCCCGGGTACGGACACGGCACCGTTGGCAAGCCATGCTGTGGCAGGTGTCCCACATATAAAGTAGAGGAAGATGGGCACGGATGTTAGCTCAGGGTCAGTCTTCCTCAGCAAAAAGAGGATTGGCAGTAGATGTTAGCTCAGGACTAATCTTCCTCAAAAAAAAAAAAAAAAAAACCGATAAACTCTCCAGTTTAGTCCCGGCTAAAGGTCTAAGAGCCACACTGCCCACTGCAAATTCTCGCACTACCATTTACTACACCTTGGGCAAGTCCGTTAACCTCTCTGAGCCTCAGTTTCCTGATCTGTAAAATGGGGATAATAATGGTGCCTACCTCGTGGGGCTGCTGTGGGAGTAAATGAGATCACGAGAGTGAAGTGCTCAACACAGTGCCTATGTGGTCTCAGCAAACGTGGACTATTAGCAGCACAGCCACGTTCTCACACGAGGGGACTTCTGAGTGAGGGGCAGAGGTTCTCCTGTGGGGAGGGGCCCTGTGGAGATCCTCCAGGCAGCAGGAAGCCTTGGCAGGGCAGGGCCCTCGCCCAAGACACCCCGCCACCCAGTGGCTAGTATATGGGGACCATACCCAGCTCTCCCGCGGGCACTAACCTGAGGTCGGAGGCTCACTTGCCATGGCTTCCACCCTGCCTCCTGGCCTGCTAGCAGCCTCCTTCCCTGCCCTGCTGCCCTGGGAACCTGACCCGCTTGGCGTCAGCCCTGGCACTCCCTCCAGCTTTGTAATAAAATAGCCGGCTCAGGTCAGCTTTCCCTGGTGGGGAAGCCACCTGACCCAGAGGGCAGGAGGGAGGGGAGCAGCCTGAGGGAACAGCTCCTTCAGCAACCACCAATTACAGTCTGCTCTCTCTGGGAATCACTTGATCCCTAAACCAGGTGACCCCCAGGAAAGAACCCTTCTTATTTGTCTTCCTTCCTTTCCTAATCCTTCATCATTAATTTATCTGTGTATTCATTCATTCAATATTGAAATACCTACTGTATGTCAGGTGCTGGGGCTCATTGGGGATCACCAGGGTTGGCAAACTTTTTCTGTAGAAGGCCAGGTAGTAAATGTTTTCAGCTTTTTGGGCCAAACTATTCTGCTGTTGTCGCAAGACAGTAGCTGTAGACAGTATGTAAACAAATGGGTGGATGTGGCTGTGTTCCGATAAAACTTTATTTGTGAACCCTGAAATTTGAATTTCATGTAATTCTCATGCGTGATAAAATATTCTTCTTTTGATTTGTCCCCCTAACCATTTAAAAATGTAAAAACTATTGTTAGTTGCAGGCCGTACAAAACAGGGAACAGCCAGTGGGCAGTAGCTTGCTCCACGAAGGCCATGGAGTGTGCCGTGCCCTGGGGGTGCCAGGACCTCTGGCAGAGGGAGAGCTTGGGAGAGGCTCAACTCAACTCAACCAAGCCCTCCCAGAGTCCACTCCCTCAATGCCACATATGTTCTCTGTGGTTTAGATATGGGGACTCTTAGGTCTCCCTTGGCACCAGAAGCTTTTTGAGGGCAGAAACATCTTCAAGCTTTTGGAGTCAGAAAGTACCTAGGTTCAAATACCAGCTTGACCACTCACTAGCTGAATGGCCTTGGGTAAGTTATTTAACATCTCTGTGCCTCAGTTTCCTCATCTGCAATACCTACTTCCTGGGTTGTTGAGAGGATGAAGGAGTTAATACATGCATTTAAAGTGCTCACACAAGTGCCTGACATAGAGTCATGTTGACTCTCATCACAGTTCCTTCTCCCCAACTCACCCCAGCACCCAGCATGGCTCTGGGCACACAGGACCTGCTCAGTCTGTCCTTGCTATGTCCTAGGTTCCAGAATGTGGGGAAAAGTCTCCTGACTCCCTGCCCAGTAGCCCTTCGGGATCTGTACCCTGGACTCCTGCGAGGCTTTGCCCTTTGGATTTAGCTTGGTGCGTTTCCCTTTTGGCTTCTTTCCCCCAGTGAAATGATCCCCTTGTCCCTCTCAGACAAGCCCACCTGGATGCCCAGGGTTAGGAGTATGTGGACATGAAGAGCTCTTGGCTGGTTCTGCTCCGGGGATGAGCTGTGGAGGAGTAAGAGGGAGCCTACTTCACCTGCCAGCCCAAGGTCCATGGGGTGGGCAGGTTGCCCAGGTCAAGGCCTTGGGCATCTCAGCCGTTAGGCCAAATAGCTCGACCGTCCAGCACTTTGCTCTCATCTCCAGGTACACTCCTGTCCCAGGTGCATGCCTGGTTTGCTCTGCCTTCCAGAACAGCACCCCTTCCTCCCTCCCCCTCCAAGAGCCTCTAATACCTTATCTGGCTTCATTCTTTCATAGTCCTTATCATTGTGTGAAACTTTATTATTTGTTTATTAGGATTTTTTTCAGCCTCCCTTCCACTAGACTTTAAGCTCCTTAAGGGCCAGACTTTTGTCTGCTTTAATCCTTACAATTACCCTCACAGAACAGAAGGACAGATAATATCCCCTATTTAACAGGTGAGCATACCGAGGTCACTCAGTTAGTGAGTAGCAGAATGAGGATCCAGGACCAGGTCTGTTTCACAGGCAAAAGCTGACATTCTGAACCTCCACCATAAGACAGAGCTCGATTAGTCTGGCAAGATGGTGGGGGGTGGGGGGATAAGGCACAGGCCTTGAGCCCAGTAGTTTGTTTCCAGCAGCAGTAGCAGCAGTAACAGGTCAGGAGGCATTTATAGGAGTCCTAGGGACCTTCTCTGCCACTGTTGCAGGAGGCAAAGCCACGTGGGCTTCACTCCTGCCTTGTTGGAGCTCATGGGCTGTTTAGACAGAGACACGTATCTAGTCTCTTCACTGCAAAGCTGACTGTGCTGAGAGCTATAAAGGCTTACAAAGTGCTTTACAGGTGCTGTCTTCGTCTGCTCAGGCTGCTGTAACAGAATACCATAGATTGGGTGCCTTAAACAACAGGAACCTATTTCTTGCAGTTCTGGAGACTAGTAAGGCCAAGAGTGCTGGCTGATGTGTTCCTGGTAAGAGCCCTCTTCCTGGTTTGCAGCTGGCTGCCTTCTTATTGTATCCTCGCACGGCAGAGAGAGTTCATCTCTCTCTTGTCTCTTCTTTTTCTTTTCTTTTTTTTGTCTTCTCCCCAAACCCCCCAGCACATAGTTGTATATTTTAGTTGTAAGTCCTTCTGGTTGTGCTATGTGGGACGCCACCTCAGCATGGCTTGATGAGCGATGCCATGTCCGTGCCTGGGATCTGAACCAGGGACACCCTGGGCCGATGAAGGGGAGCACGTGAACTTAACCACTCGGCCCACAGGGGCCAGCCCCCTCTTGTCTCTTCTTATAAGGTCAGTAACCCCATTCAGGCTCCACTCTATGACCTAATTACCCCCCAAAGGCCCCACCTCCACATAGGAGTGGCGAGTGCCCTCAGGGAAGGTGCTTTGGACAGAAAGGGCTGCAGAAACAAAGGCCAATGAGATAGGGCCTGTTTGGGGGCAGGTAAGGGCTCCGAAAGGTTAGAGCCTAGAGTGTGTTGGGAAAGGGCAGTGGTGATGTAAGGTGGTTGTGAAAGTAGGTTGGGGTCAAATCACGGAAGGCCTGAAAGACTGGGAAAGACTGGGCTTCCTAGGGTTGCATAGTAGATAATAAGAACAACCACAGAACAGCTGATTGTGTGTGTTGGGCACTTTATATTTTACAAAGCACTTCCCGACCACTCTTCTTCTCTGTCCTCACAACTGGTAGCAGGCTAGAGCGGCAAGTTCAAGATAGGGAGCCTGGGGTCGGCTCCACGCAGGTACAAGTTGTGTAGATTTGAACAAGTCACTTCACATCTCCAAGTCTCACCTTACTCATCTCTAAGAACAGGGCCCAATGCTCAGCGCTTTAGGAAGGATTACACAAAACCACCCATGTGAAAATGCTGTTTTTAGCTTCTGGCCCACAGTTCTTTCTCTGTAAAATGGGGACAATCCCTGTGCAGCCTAATCAAGGGGGCGGTGTCTTCGATTTCGTAAGCAAAGGCCAAATGGCAAGAATCTAATTAACGAGGCCAGGGAAGTCGTTTCTTGGTTGGCATGCTGAGCGCCTCAGAGAAGGGACTTTGGCTACTTTAACGGTGTCTCTTAATATCGGTCATGGTAGTCAACTCATTTTGGACAGCGAGGGAATAAGCACAGAGCATGCACAAGCAAGTGCAAAAAACACAGGAGACGCGGTGCTGGCTCACTAACGTGCCCCCAGCCGACCCACTTAAAGGGCCAGAACACCTAGTGCCCCGCCCCCGCCGTCCGAAGATCACCAATCAGTGAGCGAGTCGCTCCGTGACGCTATCTTCTCGCGACTAAGCGGGCTGGCGGCGGCGTTTCCTGGTGACAGAGCCCGGGCGCCGAGGGTATGCGCCCCCAGGAGGTGCTGGGCCGGGCCGCCCGACTGGCCTCCTCCGGTCTGCTCCTGCAGGTACTCTGTTCGGCCGGCCCCAGCCTACCCCGCAGCGGGCATTCGCGGGGAGGCGGCTCTGGGGTCCTTAAGAGCCCGCCCCGGGGCAGACCCAGTCCGGGCGTGGACCCCGCTACGGAGGGTTTCAACTGGAGGCGGTGGCGGACGCCTAGGTCTGGAGTTGTGAGACTGCAAACAAGCCACTTTCCTTCTGAGCATTATGTTTCCCATATGGTACTAGGAGAGGGTTAGATCAGGTGGCAGGGGTGCCTTTGGTGCTCTAGAATCTGATATTTTTAAGGCAAGGAGTTCCTTTTCTCCATGTCCCACCCCTGACCCTCAAATACCTCCTTCAGGCTCTCTGACTCCCACTGAGTTCAGAGAGACAGCATGGCATATCTAAGAACTGGGACCTGGGCGCAGTCAGGCCTGGATTGAAATCTTGTTTCTACCAGGTGCTTGCTGCATGACAAATGACTTCACCTATTAAGCCTAAGCCTCAGCTTCTCATTGGGAAAATGGAGACAATACCTAGCTCTTAAGGTTGTTATGAGGCTTGTTGGGGTTATTCAGATAATTGCACCCTTAATACAGTGCCTGGCTCTTTTTTTTTTTTTTTTTTTTTTAGGAAGATTAGACCTGAGCTAACATCTGCCACCAATCCTCTTTTTACTGAGGAAGACTGGCCCTGAGCTAACATCCATGTCCATCTTCCTCTACTTTATATGTAGGACGCCTGCCACAGCATGGCTTGCCAAGCGGTGCCATGTCCGCACCCGGGATCTGAACAGGCAAACCCCAGGCTGCTGAAGTGGAATGTGTGAACATAACCGCTGTGCCACCCGGCTGGCCCCAGTGCCTGGTTCTTAATATGTACTTAGTAAATGTTGGCTGAATCTTCCTTCTGGCTATGTGACCTTGGACAAGTCACTTTCCCTTCTTGGCCCTAAAATGCATCATCTGTCAGATATGGTACATGCCAGTTGGTTCAAATGGTATCTAAACATTCTTTTAACTCTTGCAGGTAGTCATTCTAAGTCAATTGGCTCCATTTCTCTGTCTCACTCTTGAGCCATTGAACCCTTACTAACAGGAGTCCTGAATCCACCCTCCCCCTTATTTTAGAGAGGCAGCATTTCACTAGGAGAAAGAACCAGGCATACTTGGGCTCAAGTTTTGGCCTTGTCCCTTGCTAGATGCCTGCCTTTGTGAAGATCACTTAACTTTTCCGAGTATCAGTTTCCTCATCTTAAACGAGAGCAATGATGCAACCTCACAGGGTCGTTAGGGAGATTAGATGAAATGCCTGGTAAGTGCCAGGCATATTATAAGTACTTAAATGTTAGCTATTTTTATTATGTAATAAGGATTTTTTTTAAATGGTCATTATAGGGATGAAAAGAGGTAATGTATGTAAAGCATGTAGAAGATTGCTTTGCATGAGATATATGCTTAATAAACATTAGCTATTCACCTAAGCCTAAATTAGGTGAACCCTAAGTTTACCTAGTTTTTTTTTTCTTATCTCACAATGTAAACAACTGAGTTCAGTGCTTTATCCACAATGCTGATTGTTCAACCTTTGATGATACCTTACCATCCAGATTGGCTTCATGAAAAGAAAACAAGTCTTAGCAGAAAACACCCTGGACTAGGAGTCAGGTGGCCTGCGCATAAGGTCAGGCTGGGTTATTTGCTTGCTGTGTGACATTGGACAAATCACTTTGCTCTGAGTCTTACTTGCTTCCTGTGCATTTACGTGGTTGCTTTTCAGGGTCAAATAATGAACAGATGTGAAAGAATTTTTTTTAAACTGTAAAGTCCTTTACAAAGTTAAATGAAGACTGTTGCTAATAAGGGCCACTATGTGGAGCCAGTACTGGGTAGCATGAGCAACCTCAGAGCTTCATTAGCTCAAACCTTTATTCAAACCAATTAGGAGATAAGGAGATAGCGTGAGATATTGTTTCTTAAATGATGATAACTTTGACTTTAAGGTTAACATAATGTGCAGCTGGCCCCATGGCCTAGTGGTTAAGTTTGGTGCACTCTGCTTCAGTGGCCCTGGTTCAGTTACTGGGCATGGACCTACACCTCTCATGGGCAGCCATGCTGTGGCAGTGACTCACATTCAAAATAGAGGAAGATTGGCACAGATGTTAGCTCAAGGCAAATCTTCCTCAAACGAAAAGGAGGATTGGTAACAGATGTTAGCTCAGGGCCAATCTTCTTCAGCAAATAAAAAATAAAAAATTAAATGTGTGTATGTGGGGGTTTGTTTTTTTTTTTTTTGAGGAAGATTAGCCCTGAGCTAACATCTGTCCCCAATCCTCCTCTTTTTGCTGAGGAAGACTGGCCCTGAGCTAACATCTGTGCCCATATTCCTCTATTTTATGTGGGATGCCTGCTACAGCATGGCTTGACAAGCAGCGTGTAGGTCTACACCCAGGATCCAAACTGGTGAACCCTGGGCCGCTGAAGCAGAATGTGAGAACTTAAGCACTGCACCACTGGGCTGGCCCTGTATGTGGTTTTTTAAAACTAGCCATAATCTTTAGATTTCTTGAGTGTTTTAATTTGGTCTTGTGTGCCTTCTCAAATTATACTCCAAACACATGAGGTAGCTTTGCAATTACATTGTATTCTGCAAGAATTTGAGAGCTAATTCTCTATCTTAACTCTGAGCTGACCATAGTGAAAGTATTAATGCCTTTCATTGGTATGCATTTTTCAAAAAAGATTTCACTTCAATGATCTCGTTTGATCCTTGTTATCAGCCCTATGAGATACGCAGCCTCGTTTGACAAAGGAGGAAATTGAGGCTTCTAAGAATTAGAAGAGGATGGGTTTAACAGCTAAATAACGAGTTGAGACTCTCAGCTGAGTGCTTTTTCCATTGAGGGCTCCATGAATTGGCTTCAAACTTCTGAAATTGAGTACAGAATTTGATGTGTAGGTATATAAATATGTACCTGCATGTTTCTAAGGAGAGCTACAGAGCTTTTATCAGACTCAAAAGGTCACCTTTGACTCCATAGAAGGTTAAGATTGTATCTTGGCTTTGGAGACCTTGCTGCTCTGTGATATTCAGGGACAGTGTTAAACTGTACTCTCCCTTTTTGGTCATACCTTTCCCTGGAGATTTTTAGACCATGGTAGTCCCTTGGCATTTTGATTGAATGTTCCAGATTGCAGCTCATCACGGGTAACTCTGAGAGGGCTTGTCATAGAAGCGATTTGTCATTTGTTCTGGAATACACTTGAGTTGCACCTCTGGCTCTGCCAGGATGCAGAGGGGGAATGAGGCTTGCACCTCATACTTCAGCCAGCATCCCCATTTTCCAACCCCATTTAGTTGCAACCTGTACTGTCTCAGGGGAGGAATTCTTTGCTCAGGTGGTTTTCTTGAACTGACAGTTTGCAAGTCTCAGGGTGTATCCCTTTCAAATGGCAATAGCTGGACTCCATCTCCCCCCCCCATTTTATCTTATTGCAGTTGTCATTTGAAAGGTATTTCAATTCCTCTCTGGGAAGTGGTAAATATTCAGTAAATACAGGCTTTTCTGTTTCCTAATTGAGAAAACTGAAGTTCAAAGAGATTAAGTGTCATCAGAATTCCCAGATATTTATTACTAGGCAGAGAAATTAGATCCTTTGATTCCTAGTGACTCTGCTCTACCTGCAGGCTCCCACTTGCTGAGTGTGTGCTATTTCTAAATAGGCTGGAGGGAGGGGCAATGTGAAGCACTAACTAGAATTCTCTTTCTGCCTCCTGGAGTGCCTGACTGAACCTGAAGAAATTCATTGAATCTCTTGGGGCCTCCTTCTTCTCATCAATAATTCAGGGAGACTTCGAAGTGCCTTTCTGAGTTCTTTGACCACTGCACAAGGGTGTCAAGAGACCAAAGGAATGAAATTTCAGAAGAAATGTGGACAGGTTGAGTGTTTTAGAGAGGACCTCCATGGCAAAGCTGCTGTTTGTCATTACATTAGGAAGAGCAGCCACATTGTTTTAATTTCAGCAAACATTCCTGACGTAATTTATTCTTATGTATTTTTCTTCTTTTTCTGTAGGTGTTATTTCGATTGATCACCTTTGTCTTGAATGCATTTATTCTCCGCTTCCTGTCAAAGGAAATTGTTGGTATAGTGAATGTAAGGTAAGAAGGGATGTACCCTGGCATTGTCCACATCCCTGGTCCGATTTTCTCCAAACTGTGTCCCTGTGTGTCACCCTCGGATTTGAGAAGCATAGGCCTTTAGCAGAAGCAGAGTGTTTTAGCAGTGGGCTGAGGAGGAGCATGCTGGGGTGGGGGAATGAGCAGGTGATGTTGCTTTTAATGGACCCATGGAGTGTTTTCCATTAGCAGCCTCCAAATGCACATTTCTCTGCCAGCTGTTCCGATTTGCCTGCTCTTAGAACCCAGGAGAGGAGTGGGAGTAAGTAATTCATTGCAAACTGTCTCACATATAATCCTGTGTTCTTGTCCTGCTGACAGCAGAGGAAGCAGGAATTCTGCAGTTCGTGAGGATGTGCCTCATAATTGCAGGGCTGGAAGCCACCTTCCTTCCCTCCTCAGTGAATTTTATAATTGGAAAATGGTCGCTGGGATGAGAGCTTGAGTCCTTGTCATTAGTTCCTTAGAGACTCTTAGAAAGCTGACATGCTTTGTCTTTTAGACTCAGTTTGTTTCTTTTCTCCTCCTTTCTGTTCAAGGATGCCCACACATATTCTGTATTCACAAATGACACAAAAGTATATGAAATGATGGGAGTGCTCAGAATAGCTCAGCTTCTCAGGTGTGTCTTCATGTCCTGATAAACAAGACAGTATGTTCCAGACAGCATTTCACATCTAATACCCACGAAACATATGCTCTTGGCTCTGTTCTCAGAGCTTAGTTAAGGTTCTCAAACTTTGATGACAGAGGAATCATCTGGGGAGCTTTGCACTTGGTAGGGCTGAGGAGGGGCCCAGGAATTTGCATTTTGACACGCTACTCAGGTGAGTTTGAAGTAGGGACCATACTTTGAGAAATACTGTGTTTTTTTGGTTTTTTTGAGGAAGATTAACCCTGAGCTAACATCTGCTGCCAATCCTCCTCTTTTTGCTGAGGAAGACTGGCCCTGAGCTAACATCCGTGCCCATCTCCCTCTACTTTATATGTGGGACACCTGCTACAGCATGGCTTGACAAGCAGTGCCATGTCCGCACCCAGGATCCGAACTGGTGAACCTGGGCCACTGAAGCAGAATGTGCGCACTTAACCACTGCGCCACTGGGCAGGCCTGAAATACTGTTTTGCATTTTGTAAGCAGGTATGAAGATGGCCAAATCCTCTTAGGTGCTCAGACTTTAAAGCACTTTGGGCCTCTCCCCAGCTGGTCTACCCCAGATTGGCAGGTCCTCTCTTTGACAGCCCTTGTTTGGCCTGCCCCCTGCTTAATGTATGGTTCAGTCTCCTCGTTGGCAACGTCGGACAGAAGCACTGGGTAACAGGATGATCTTTGGACAACTTCAGCCCTGGGCCATCCCCACACTGGCTTCAACTGGGCCACTGCCTGGTGAGGAAGGAAAACCTCAGATGCTCCTCGCTGAGGCACAGGAGGCTCCACCTGGGTGCTGCCCATCTGGGAGGTAGGCACATGAGCCTTGCTGGCTTGGGTTCAGCAGCCTCTGTAATTGCTGCCAGCCTTATTGCCTGTCCTGAGATTCTTTTGACCAGAGCCTCCATGCAGTAGAGCCTCAGCTTCTCTTACAAGGGCCATTGGGTCACCAGTCTCAGGGTGACCAAGAGGTCCCCTTGTTGTGTGGGGTCATATCTTGTCCTTTTCTCCTCCTCATGGTCAGAGCCACACCTCTGTCTGTAGCCGTGAAGCCTGCAGGCTTTGGGGGCCACTGGCAGTTTCTGCCTCTGGCATAATACGCAGTAGGCACACACTCAGGTGTCCGTTGTTTGGTTCGTAACTCTTTTGTTTGAGTGGATCAGACCCATGAGGGGTCCTGTAAAAACTCAACTGCCCTCCGTGTCACCAAGTGTGATTTATGACCAAGACTTTTTCTCCTCCCTGTTGCTGGCAAAGTCTCAGAAATTCTCCATGAAAAAACTAGAGACCTTATTGATTTCTGCTTTTCCTTTACAGGCTAACACTGCTTTACTCAACCACCATCTTCCTGGCCAGAGAGGCCTTCCGCAGAGCATGTCTGACTGGGGGAGCCCAGCGGGACTGGAGCCAGACCTTCAACCTCCTGTGGCTAACGTGAGTCGTGCTTTGTCAGGAGTCAGTTTCAGGAAGGCAGGTGTGATAAGTGTTATGAGTTAAGAGCAACACTCGCCTAAAGTTGAATTATCTCCAGCTTCGGTTTTGCAGTGGGTTTCTGGGGACTTGGTGTGGGACAGAAAAGGGAAAGCGTCCGTGTGCAAGGAGCTTCTTGGCTGTCTTCTCTCTGGATGGCCGGGAGGCTCCAGGTGGGGATTCTGGCCGTATTTCTACCCGTTGGAGGTTGTAGTTCTCCTGTTGCTGATCCCCGCCTTGGGCCCTACTGGGCCTGTGCCATTTTTTTTATTCCTCATCTTATCCCCTTTAGTATTTTCTGAGTTTTTAACAACCACTCAGTCTTAATGTTTTTTGAAAGCCTTTTAGGGGTTTCATTATATCTTTCTTCGATTTTGTTATGTTGATTTCAGCTCTGCGCCTTTTAGAATATTCTTGAAGACCAAGTACATCAGCTAAAAATTGTAATGGCTTTTCTGTGGTTTGATCCCTGCAGGGGGGCTGGTGGTTGAGGTTGTTTCCCCGTGCTGCCCTTGCATAACTCCTCCTTTTGCCTCATGGAAATGACTGTCATAAGGGTTGGTAGGTGTTCATTTTACCAGAGGAATGACTGTGTAACTACCCAGTCATATTTAGGTGCTCTGTGGTGCACATGTGAAGGGATGCTGTGCACTGGATTGTTGGTTATTTGGGTGCAAGCACCAGCTGTCTTTCAGTCATTCTAAGTGCGAACACCAGATACGCTGTCTGGGAATTTTGCTTATTGCGTCAGGGTAGCACAGGGTGGGAATGCAGGCTTTGAGGTTAGACAGACCAGGGCTTGGTCCTGCTTCTGCCCTTGACTAGCTGTTCATGACCGTGGCCGAATTACCCACTGCCTGTCAGCCTTAGCTTCTTCATCACTTAAATGGGGATAATGGCAGGATCATTGTGAGGTGTCAGTGAGATAAAGGGGGTGAATCACAGTGCCTGGCATGTAGTAAGTGCCTTAATAAATGGTAGCTATTTTTATAATTATAGCTATATTTCTTTTGTGTTCAGTGTTACTATTTTAATATATATTTATATTTATTTTTATAGTTAGCATATTAAAAAAATATTTTTTCCCTTTTCTAGAGTCCCCCTGGGTGTGTTTTGGTCCTTGTTCCTGGGCTGGGTCTGGTTACAGTTACTTGAAGTGCCTGATCCTAGTGTCGTCCCCCACTATGGAACTGGAGTGGTGGTGTTTGCTCTCTCGGCCGTGGTGGAACTTTTGGGAGAGCCCTTCTGGGTTTTGGCACAAGCACATATGTTTGTCAAGCTCAAGGTCAGTGTGCCTTCTCCTGTGAATGGGAAATGCAAAGAATAAGGGAGAGAGTGGTTTTTAAAAAATGCTTTTATAGGAAAAAATGATTTTTTCAGACTTGCATCTAAAAAAGATATTTGGAAAAAGGTAACATGATTAGTTCATTCATTTGAAATTTGGCATATGGGCTGGGCTAAAGTTTACCTCTGCTATACTATTAATGAAAAACAGATTCACTAATTGGGAAGTTATTAGTTTAGATAAGAGTTTTAAGAGGACTGTGAAGGTTTTTTAGATTTGTCTAATGATTCTATTTTTAGTTGTATACTAGTATTTTTTCTCTTCATCTTTTAAAATACATAATTTGACATGTACAAAAGAATATATATAACAATTTTGTAAATCTTAAAGCATGATAATATACTGAAGATCCATGAACCTACCGTCCAGCCCAAGTGGAGCATTACCCATACTGAGTCCAGCCATGGGCCCCACCCCACTGCCAGGGTCACCACTCTTCCAGGTTTTCTAGTTGTCATTCCTTTGCGTCTTCAGTCTTTAATAATGTTTGTAAAGTGCACCCTTTACCACATGTTTGCAGGTGATTGCTGAGAGCCTGTCGGTAATCCTCAAGAGTGTCCTGACAGCTCTTCTTGTGCTGTGGTTGCCTCACTGGGGGCTGTACATTTTCTCTTTGGCCCAGGTAAGAGTTACAGCTTTTAACTTTTATATAATCTGTGTTTCACTATCTGTTTCTTTCTTCTTGTTCCCAGTACTGCATGGTTTACATTTGCAGTATTCATGCATGTGAGGAAGGCTGGAAGCTCTAGAAAGACAGTCTTCACACTGCTTCTCCTCTGGCTGCCATGTCCATCCTGCTGCACGCACTGACACCACTGGTGTCCACAGGGACCTGGTGAGGGCCGCACACTAGGCCTCACTGCCCAATGTAGAAACTCCTTTGGACATTCTGTGGGCAAGCCCTTATCACACTGATCTTCGATTGTCTGACTGCCTTGTGGAGGAGAAAAAAAGGCAGTAAGGGGATGGGGTGGGAATCAAATTGCATGTGTGTTATTTTTCCTAGATTTCAAGCAGTTGTGTTCAGAATAGGAGGAAATCACCAAGCCTCTTTTAAACTTAGATTAAAATCTCATAGAATTCAGAGGGTGTGAATCAAGTCATCACAGGTACATTTTCAGTTTTAGTAGTTTTGGTTTCATTTACATCTTATCATTTTCTAATTCTAGTTCATATTTCTACTTCTAATAAAAATATAACTAGACTACAAGTGCTAATTTTAAAAATGAAACCTAAGGTCAGATAGTTAGCAGGACATCCTGTACAAAGCAGTTTGTAATTTTTCCTAATGTATAGGAAGATAAGTTAAAATTCTTAGTAATGATTTATGTGAGAATCTTTACCATTTCCTAGGCAAGAACTACAAATATTTTTGTGAAAGACAGAAGAGGTAGATTTAAAATTAATAGAATAAGAATGATGGGGCTGGCTCTGTGGCTGAGTGGTTAAGTTTGTGCGCTCCGCTTCGGTGGCCCAGGTTTTCATCGGTTCAGATCCTGGGCGCAGACATGGTGCCACTCATCAGGCCATGTTGAGGTGGCGTCCCACATGCCACAGCTAGAAGGACCCACAACTAAAATACACAGCTATGTACTGGGGGCATTTGGGGAGAAAAAGCAGAAAAAAACAAAAAAAAAAAGATTGGCAACAGTTGTTAGCTCAGATGCCAATTTTTAAAACAAACAAACAAAAAAGAATAAAAATTGCCTCCTAAAAGAATTTGTGAACAGTTACATATTTTGGAGAAGTTATTTACGATTATTTTTGCCATGTTTTGTTAGACCTGAACTATAGTATTCATCATTGTTTTTGATGCAGTTTCCCTAACAGGACAGGAGGGCCGTGGATACGCCCAGTTATTGGTTGACTCTTCTTGGTAAAGGCACTTGCATTATAACTTTCTGATTGTCATACCTCTCACCCAGGATACATCACATGTCATAGGTCAGCAAGGCCAATTCTGAGTTTATTTGCCTCCTTAGCATAAGACTTCCGAGAGCTCTTCTCTGGTACAGTCTCTGTCAGTGTCTGTGTGAGAGGTCTAAGAGCCAACAGCACCTCCTTTCAGCAGGCAAACCCCAATCAGGGCACGGGGATTCCCCTTTGTTCACCCTGCCTCCAGGCTCCTCCTTAACGGGCTCTTCACCCCATGGCATCATATGTGAAATAAAAGGGTCACTCTAGAATATATAAAAGATTCTTACAACTCAACGACAAGAAGACAAACCACCGAAAAGTGAGTAAAGGGCTTGAGTAGACATTTCTCCAAAGAAGATATACAAATAAACGGCCAATTAGCAGATGAAAAGATGCTCAGCATCATTAGTCATTAGGGAAATGTAAATCAAAACCACAATGAGATACTACCTCACACTCATTAAGATGGCTATTATAAAAAAACAGAAAACAACTAGTGTTGGCAAAGATGTGGAGGAATTGGAACCCTCATACATTGCTGCTAGGAATGTAAAATGGTGCAGCCGCTGTGGAAGACAGTTTGGCTGTTTATCAGAAAGTTAAATGTAGAGCTGCCATATGAGCCAGCAATTCCACTCCTTGGTATATACCCAAAAGACTTGAAAACAGATGTTCCAACAGCTTGTACATGGATGTTCATAGCAACCCCATTCATGATAGCCAAAAGGTAGAAACAACCTAAATGCCCATCAACTGATGACTACATAAATAAAAGGTAGTATATCTGTACAATAGAATATTATTCAGCCATAAAAATGAAGTACTGATATGTGCTACAACATGATGAACCTTGAAACCATTATATTAAGTGAAAGAAGCCAGACGCAAAAGCCACCTATTGTGTGATTTCATTAATATGTAATGTCCAGAATAAGCATGTCCATAGAGAGAGAAAACAGGTTAATGATTGCCAGGGGATGAGGGAATGGAGAATGACTGCTAAGGGGTACAGAATTTCCTTTTGGAGTGATGGGCATTTTCTAGAATTAGATAGTGATGGTGGTTGTACAACATTTTGAATGTACTAAAAGCCACTGAATTGTATGCTTTAAAATGGTCAGTATTAAGTTTTGTGAGTTTTTCCTTAATAAAAAAAGGGAGAAGGATCATGTAGTTAGGATACACTGCATGAGGACTGCTCATAGGTTGTTACTGTTTCCTGGGCTCTGGTCAGCAGGAAGATTGAGAGAGGCTGGGAAGGGAGCTGGAAAGGGTACTTGTCACAGAGGATGTTGGCTTCAGGTGGTGTGGCCCCCAGCAGTGCTGCTTGTGTCTTAAAGGGCTTGCGGCCTTAAAGAAGAAGGGTGGTAGACGGAGAACTCTGTCCTCAGGCATGGATGGGGTGGAGAGCAGAGGAGCTTAAAGCAAGGCTCCTCTTTCTCCTTGCCCTGTGCCTTTGCTACAGGGGCAGCTTTGATGTTTCCAGACTGAAAGCAGGGCCTGGAGGTCCCGTTCCTTGAGCTGGTGTGCGCTACTGTTCTCAGTGGGGAAAGAGGGTAGAAGGGAGCTTGTGAAAAAGGGCTCTTTGGATACTCCTCATCAACCTGCAAACAAAACCTCTGGCTGCTGCTCTTGGCCAGAAGCCATCCTTTTGTTCCAGATGGGTGGAGGGAGAGTGGGCCTTCTTATCACCCCATCTTACCTCCCCCATCCTGTAGTAGCTCTTGCCCTGCCCACGCATTAGGAACAAAGGAGAGAGCCAGCAGCTCAATTCTGCTTTTTAATCTTAATGTCACAGGTTTCCAGGGCTTATGGAAAATCCTCAGTGCTAGATGATGGCAAGTCCCTGGGTATTAGCACAGCCGGGACACGGACACGTGGATCCTCATAGTGTGTTGTCTAGGCAGGAGAGCCATTCCTTTGGCCACATGCAAATCTTTTGAGAACATATCTGACATTACTGTGGCAGTTACCCTAGTGGCTGTCTGCCATAGAAATTAGGTTTTGCTAGTCAGAAGAACTTCTGTTCTCCCAGTCAGGTGAAGTGTTTAGAATGCTTTCCCCAGAGATGCTGCAGTGGAGCTGGGCCTTATTGAGAGGTGCTCTTTTCCAGACAGTGAGGCATTGCTTAACAGAAGGTACAGTTATTAAGATAGTCTTTTTCTTGATTGGCCTTTGAGGTCAAATTTATAGGTATATCTTAGTTTTTCCTTTATTAAAACAGTGTAATTTAAACCCATTATTTTCTTTTTTCAGCTTTTCTATACTACAATTCTGGTGCTTTGCTATGTTATTTATTTCACAAAGTTGCTGGGCTCCCCAGAATCACCCAAGCAACAAACTCTTCCTGTCTCCAGAATGACAGATCTGTTACCCAATGTTGTGAGAAATAAGGTAAGTAACACATTTTGTCTCTTATTGTTGATGCTGGTTATCCTTGAGGGAGAGAACTACAATTTTATTGCTGATTGTTATAATAGTAAAGATAATTTGATAGCTCATATTGATTGAATGCTTGCTATGTCCTAAACCAGGGTTTTATTTATTTATTTTTTTTTAAAGATTTTTTTTTTCCCTTTTCTCCCAAAGGCCCCCGTACATAGTTGTCTATTTTTAGTTGTGGATCCTTCTAGTTGTGGCATGTGGGATGCCGCCTCAGCATGGCCTGATGAGTGGTGGGTGCTGTGTCCGCACCCAGGATTCAAACTGGTGAAACCCTGGGCCGCTGAAGCAGAGCACGTGAACTTAACCACTTGGCCACGGGGCTGGCCCCCTAAACCAGGGTTTCTAAATCTTGACACTATTGACATTTGGCGCTGGATAATTCTTTGTTATGGGGACTGTCCTATACATTGTAGAATGTTTAGCAGTATTTTCAGTCTTTATCCACTAGATGCCAATAGCTACCACCCTCCAGTTGTAACAACCAAAACTGTCTCCAGACACTGCCCAATGTCCCCAGGGGGGCAAAATGGCCCCCAGTTGAGAACCACTATGCTAGGCCCTATGCCAAATGCTTTACATGCCTTATTTGGTGCTTAACAACAACCCTGTGAGACTGACATTATTATTTCTATTTTGGGGTTGAGGAACTGAGGCTTAGTGACTACATACCTGCCCAAGGTGAGGGTGAGAGCAAGGACAGGAACCAGGAGTGGCTGGAATCCCAGCAGAGCACAGGCAGTAACCACTGTGCTCCCCTCTCTCTGTTCTGCTATTTCCCTTGGTTTTCTTAGGATTGACCTCTGGCACAGACAGTCCAGAGTGCTGACAGAGCAGGGATGACCCCTGCACAGTTCCTTTATCTAGTACCAGGCCAGTCTTTCAGGGCTCCACTTTCCCATGTAGACCATTGAGGATCTCGATGCTGATGTGTGGGAGTGAGGCATAATCTTTTTCTGCTCCACTCTTTAACTCTCTGTGCAGTTGACTTTTATTTCTTGCCTCTTGTGGGGTCAGTGCTGCTGTCTGTGGCCTGGAGTTGCACATGTGGTGTTATACCACACTGCCCCTGCCTGGTGTTTTGTGACCTGCTCCATTCTGGGCTGACTCACTCTCCGTGTTTCCTGTAGTTGTTTGCTTGCTGGATGTAGTACACTTAGTTGCGATAAGGCTTTGACTAGACTTCTTATTCCTCTTTTTTGATTACTTGGAAAAAGTAGTGAAATATTTGGGATTTAAGTCCCAGAAGTTATGGAATGCTGTTATACAACTTTTCAAGAAGAACCAGATATTATATAACAAAGCCAGGTATGTTCTCATTTGTTAGATAAGGGTTCTCCATTCTGATCAACTAGATCTTACCTTTAACCTAAATCAACATGACAATTTTTGGGTACCATGGTGCCTCATCTGCAGGCTTAGAGGATTAGGACTCGAGATGGCTTGTCTTGCCTAGAGCTTCTGCCACCTGCCTACAGAGCAGGTCTGAGAGTACAGAAAAGTCTCGCTCCCCTGAGTGCTCCCCAGTGCCCATCTGTACCAAGCCTGGCCAGCTTTTCATACTGGGCCAGCCCCTGCACCCCAGCAGTATTTTGGAAAGGAGCATTTGGACCGTTAATACAGGCAAGGAGAGAGAGGGTAATGAAAAGAGTCTGTCAAGTATGTATTTAACCTTATCATGGGCTCAGAACTCCGAGCTTCAGTTTCCCCATCTGTCAAATGGGGATAATAAGAGTGCCTGCCTGCTAAGGCAGTTGTGGGAGCTGGAAGAGATGGAGCATGTAAGGTGCTTAACACTGTGGCCTGGTACAAGTGAGTGTCCGTAAGTGACAGCCAATGCCATCACCATCACGCTGCTGCTCTGAGAGTAATAGTAGCACCACTGGAATATGGTCACAAGGCAAACACTGATGGCACTGGTGTGAGAGCTCAGTGGTTTAATCTGGGAATCTATCCTGAAAGTACCCGTGCTTGTACTGCCGGGGTAGAAGCCTTGACCACGAGGAGGTTGTGTGTGCCAGTCATACACAGTGGCACTGTTTCTGCTGACAAGCAGTCAGAGTGCGGCCCCATGCTTGGTGCTCTGGAATACAGCATGTAGGATGGTGATTGCTGGGCCTCAGGGAGCTTCCTGTGTGTTTGGGAGGCAGTAGGTACAGATCAGAAGCCTGCAGAACTCCCCCCACACCTCAGGGTCCTCATTTTTAAGGTAAGATTGTTGGCCTACGTGACCTGTGAGGCCCCTCTGAAGTCTTAAGGAGTTCTGTGTGAGTATTTGAACTTTGATGAAGAGCTGTTTCTAGTAACTGCCATTGACTGCATGCTTACTCTGTGCCCGGTGTTATGCCAGGCACTTTACATGGACTTTTGTCCTGTGAGATAAATACTATTATCTTTGTTTTATAGTTGAGAAAACTGTGGTTCAGAGGAGTAAAGTGATAACCCAAATCACACAGCTGGTTTTCAATTCCCTTCTCTCTAACTTCATCATTTATTTACTTAAAGATTGGGTAGTTCCAGGTAGAACAATTCATTATTCAAGTTTTTTAAAAAAAAAAAAAAAAGAAAAGAAATGAGGTGAATCTGAATGCAGTGGATGACTTTACCGTTGGCAACATGCCTAACCTGACTCCAGAGTAGCTTTCTGCACTAGGGGCTCCCTCATGCTAAACTCGTCAAACGTTTACATTCAAAAGCAATTTGACCAAATTGGGAGATTTCTTTCTTACGCTTGTAGACTTCTATCTTCTTTAAAAATACTCATTTAGCCTTAAAATAAATTAGTGATATGTCAAATAATGGCTGCCTTTTATATCTTTTATATTCTTTTACACTTCTGAGTGATTTAATGTGAGAGATCTGCTAATATTTAAGTAAAGCTGAGGAATTTAACACAGGAAGGATAGATTAAGCAGTATGCTGTATTGAGCACTGTACCCGGGTACCCTGAGTGGGGTCCTTGCCCTCTCAACTTGGCATTGTGCTGGGGAGATAAGATGCATACTCAGCTAACTACACTGCAAGAGGGTGTGTATGTGTCTAGTGTTAACAAAATAGAAGCACAGAGAAAGGACTGATGAATTCCATCTGGGAGCATTGAGGAAGGCTTCATGAAGGAAGCTGCTTGTGAGTTGGGCCTTGACATGTGGATGGGCAGAGGTGAATGTGCATGTGTGGTGGAAATGTGCATTTGTGGCTGTTGCGATGAAAGACGTTTGCTCAGGGCCTATATTGTGCCCATCACTGTGTTGGAATTGGGATTCCGGAGATGACTGGGGTACTTAGTTTGGCTAGACAGTTGCAGAGGGGAGAAGAAGCAAAAGGTGGAAGGAGGTTATAGCCTGCTGGGCTAGGGCCAGGTATTGGTGGCCTCAGTGCCGTGGAGTGTGGGCTAGATTCAGACGCAATGGGGCCTAATGAAAGGTGTTTGAACAGTGCCGTGATCTACTTGCCTGTGTTGAGGAGCTTACCATCTGTTATAGATTTATTGAGTGTCTCATTTTCTCTCATTCAATCCTCATACCAGCTCCAAGATGCAGGAATTCTTATCCCATTTTGCAGATGAGAAAACTGAGGCTTAACAAAGTTAAGTATCTTGTCCATGGCCTTTGCACTAATAAGTCTGGAGCTGAGGTTTAAGCCCCAGTCTCTGAGCCTGACTCCAAAGCCTGAACCCTACCATGAGAAGGATGGGCTAGAGAAAAGGTTGGAAGTGAAAAAACTCACGAGGAGGCCATGGCAATTGTCCAGATGAGAAGTGATGAGGACATTGGGAGGGTGGGTATAAATGGGAGCATGGACATAGTCTGGGCAGAGTTGATAGCCCTGGAGCATGAGGGAGAGGAAGGAGTGCTATGTGGGATGTGGAGGTGATAGAGAGCAGGGGACAGGACCACGGCTGCTGACTCCCTGTTGATTCTTGTCATTATGGTAAGGATGCGGCTGGAAGGAAGAGTCAGAAGTTTGGCAAGTGGAAGAGTTGCTTAGGTTAGAGCACTGTGAGCCCCTGAGTTCTGATTCCAGACTTTCCTGGAAGTACTGCCTATCAGCTTTCACCATCCATGCCTCAATTTCTCCATCAGTACAGCAAAGCAGTGGAATGGCTTGTTGGTCAGTGGATTCTGGAGAAATTCACAGCTGTGTAGACCAGCTCTGCAGTACCAGCCTAGCTCTCATGAAATAGGCTTCTTTTGACTGTCCCACGTGACAAATCCATTCTGAACAGAATAGTAAAAGCCCAAAGAATGCACTGCTTTTCTATCACTTAGCAGATACCTCTGAGAAGAAACCCAGTCTCTTACCAGACTTCCTGCCTCTGTGTCCTTAATGAGCATTTTGGAGATAGTAAGCAGTGTGACCATTCGTTCTGAACCATGGGTCCATTTAAATTGAAGGCATTAGGAGAAAGGAATGCTCAAGTATGAGCTTTTAGATCAGATACACTGTCATGAATTCATTTTCCTTAAGAACTTTTTTTTTAAAAGAGCTCAGTCATCTTCCCAAACTCATTCACAACCTACCAGCAAGTAGGTTCACAAATCTTGTGTGCCAGCAGTGACTGTTCATTTCCTCTGAAAAGAGCACAGGTACTGCTGTGCAAACCCCCAAAGGAAACCTGGCATGGGGCCGGGGGCGGGGAAGGCATTGGAGTGAGAGAGAGAAGGGGCCTTGCCCACGGAACCCCTGAAGCTGATTATGGGCAGGATCAGTGTCCGAGGACGACGTGGTCCACAGTGCCCCCTAGTGGTGATGGTGGTCTGGCGCTCTTTGTTCTGGGGAAAGTGATGCCCACTTTCCTTCTCACCAGGGAAGATTTACTCTTGGACTAGAGCTACCCCCCCCACGCCCCCACCCCCCCAGCATCATTTGGGAGGATTCAGGCCTGTCCTCCCGAAATGTGGAAGAGAGGCTCTGACACCAAGGAGTGAGGAGATCTGAGGATTGGAAATGACCCTTGCTTTCAGGGGATTCTCTAGACTTGCCCTGTCCTGAATGGTAGCCACCAGCCACATTTGGAATTGAGATGAGCTATAAGCGCAAAATACACACTGGATTTCAAAAGACTTAGTATGAAAAAAATAATGTGAAATGCCTCTAATATTTTTTTACATTTTGAAATAGTATTTTGAGTTAAATCAAATATATTTTTAAAATTAATTTTCCCTGTTTCTTTTTACTGTTCACTATGGCTGCTAGAAAATTACAGTTATATATGTGGCCTTCATTTTCTTTCTACTGGATAGCATTGCTCTTTGGGCCAAGAGCAGGGGCCCATGTGACTGAGACAGTTTCCAGGCCTGCCCTTGGGCCAACCTCCGTAGCTAAAGCTGACCTTCTGGAGAGGTGGAGTGGGCTTGGCCTTTGTGATCCACTCCTTCCCTCCCAACGAGCCCTCTGAAATCCCACCTTTTTGAAAGTCATCACTTTGAGTTCTAACTACTTTTGAAAATGTAGGTACCCTGAGATTAAGAACCTAACACCTAGACTGAACATTCTGGGATCCCAGGATGCCTTCTTTTTTTTGAGGAAGATTAGCCCTGAGCTAACTACTGCCAGTCCTCCTCTTTTTGCTGAGGAAGCCTGGCCCTGAGCTAACATCCATGCCTATCCTCTATTTTATATGTGGGATGCCTACCACAGCATGGCGTGCCAAGTGGTGCCATGTCCGCACCCGGGATCTGAACCAGCAAACCCCAGGCCCCCGGGAAGTAGAACATGCGAACTTAACCGCTGCACCACCGGGCCAGCCCCGCAGGATGCCTTCATGATAGAGGGGCCCCAGAGGGAACTGGGGGGAGGCAGAAAAAAAGATACGTCCGACTCTCTTCCCCCCACTCCTCCATTTTGTAGTCAGCTCTCTGACTTTGAGCCCACCTGTCTCTTTCAGCTTGACCTCTGCCCTCCCTAAGCGTTTGCTTCTTTCTTACCCTCCTTGTCCTTAGGAAATGGGCAGTTTGGTGCCCCCCTGGGAGTTTTGGAAGAGCCACGTCAGAAGTTTTGTTTTGTTTTTTCCTTTCTTCTGTCATACCAATTCTGAGTGGTTTAGCTGACCCAGGAAGCTTGGCTTTCTTTTGAAATATACAAGCAAAGCTCATATACATTGTGCAAAGGGACACAGGGTGGCTAAATAGAGCATTAAGATGTGGAGTCTATGGAGCAGAATTTGTTCTGCTGCTTGGCATGCTTCAGACGTTTCTTAAGGAGAGAACTGACTGTGAGCTGTGTGTGTTGGATGTGGTCAGCTTACTGTCTGGGTTTAGGGGTCTCAGTGATAAATCATGGGCAGGCCCCTCACAGGGAGGCTCTTCCACCCAGAGACTTTGTCTGCATGTCTAGGAATGTAAGTTCTTTGCCACTATTTGTTGGATGCCTTCTGTGTGCCTAGCATTAGATGAAAAATTATTGGAGACTATCCAAGTTGGGATTTAGGGGCCAAAATGAGTTTGCCTCTCAAGTAGCATTATTGTACTCTAAGACCTGGCAGTTTCTGTTTTGTTTTGTTTTCTCTTCTAGGCTTTTGTAAATTGGAAAGAGGCTAAATTGACTTGGAGTTTTTTCAAACAGTCTTTCTTGAAACAGATTTTGACTGAAGGTAAGTAAAAGGTCACTCTGCGCTGTCAGGAAACCATATGTAAACGAGGGGATTCCATGGAACTGCTGATTACCTAGATCCCGACCTCCCGGTCTAGAGCCCCCTGGGCAGAGGAACCTCAGAAATGGGAGCTTTTTAAACAAGGAGAGGGAAACAAACGTTTATTTAGTTTGATATTTTACTTAAGTTGTCTAATTTAAATCTCTCCACAGCCTTGTAAGAAAGATATTGTGCCTATTTATTATGGATTAGGAAACTGAGGGTCAGTGAGGTTATATAACTTCTGCAGAGTTCTGCAGGAATGAGGAGCAACTTAATTTGAATCCAAGTCTAACTCCAAAACCGCATGTTCTATCATTTAAATAATGTATTATAAAGGTATTATATCAGTTACAGACAATTTGGAAAATAGAGGAAACTATCCATAATCTCATTATCCTAACTTTTTATACACTTTCTTCTTCTTTTGAACTTTTTTAAGAACCAGGTTTTCATCATTTTATTTTCTTGAACAAGATTGACCTGTGTGATAGTTTGGTCAGCCTTCCACTTTGTAAGGCTTTCCAGTTTAACAGTGACAGAGCTTCCAATGTGGAGGACCAGCAAAGAGCTGAAAGTATATCTGCTTTTTCTGTGTATGTGTATTGGTTTATTTATACTCAGCTTTAGTTTAAAGAATGAGATTTGAGGCAGCTATAAGCTGCTGAAGGTAGTGGTTTCTCTCTCTATATAAATGTCATGTGTCTATACATCTATATATCTGTTACTGAACATATTTTTAAATCTTTTCAAAAATTATCTTTTAATTATAAAAATAACCCCATTACAGAAATTTTGGAAAGTAGAAAAAAAGTCCCTATAATTCCAGCATTCTAATATAACCATCATCATTATTATCTTATTTTCCTTTTTCCCCTCTCTCTTTATTTTTTATTAATTATGCTCCCAAAGGGCAGTAAATCCCCCTAAGCCTCACATTCCCATCTGAGAGTTAAGGCCTAGGATGAGGAGGCGTGCGAGGACTCTCTGAGCTTTGAGAGTGCAGGCTTCTCCCCTGAGCCTATGACACTGCCATTGCAAAAGTGAAACTGTTCACAGGATTTCTGGGGCAAGTAAGGGTCAGAAGCCTTCGGAGAGCTGAGTGAAGGTACCTTAACTGTAAGTTTCATGAGAGCTCGGAGTGTGCTTTTCACCACTGTCTCCCCAGCACCCTGCTGGGCCTGCACATGATAGGTGTTCAACAGGTATTTGATGATAAAGGAAGGTAACTGTAGTGAAATTGTGAATTGTGGTAGTTCACATTATGTTAGAATAGGAAAATAAAGGGAAAGAGTTTCGGAAAGAGTGGGTGCAGATAGGCACTTTTTTCCCCTCAGAGTTTTAAGAGCACCTTAAATGAGTTGAGGTTGTCTGGATTGCAGTGGCTAGACGTGTGTTTGCGGCAGCAGGTGTAAGTTAGCCATGCGGTCAAGCCTCCGAGCCAGGCCTGACTCTGGTGCTGATGGCTTGCTCACTCATGGTTGGACTGCTCTGGCCTAACTGGCAGAGGGCTGTTAGGAACGTCTCAGGGCCTCCATCTCCATGGCTGTGAAACAACAAAGTGGCTTTACAAGGACCCCCCCAGATTCTTTTTATCTAAAAACTACAGCTCCAAAAAAGTTGAAATCATTCACTGTAGTAGCAAAAATGTATATGCTGTTATCTTCTGCCCCCACATTTCCTGAACACTGTGTGCCAGGTGCTGAGAATACACAGATGAATGAGCAACAGGCCATGGCCTCAAGGAGCTTGTTCCCTTACCAGAGACACAGACGTTTGTGTGGTTAATTCTGATACAAGGCTGCGAGGGCTGGGCTTGGAAATGTTAGCTCATTCGCCAGGTGGCTCATTTCCTGGAGCTCTGCTAGGAAACCAGGGAGATGACTGAGACATGGTTCCTGCCCTCAGGGGGCTTACAGAATGTGGGAAGGAGAGGCCTATTGTGCAGAAGAGCCATGCTAGGTGGTAAGAATGCCAAGAGCCAAGGCTGGGAGCACAACTCGCCCAGCATGACTCAGAGCAGCTGGAAGGGCAAAAACCTGGTGGAATGTAGCAGAGACTGATGTGTGAGGTGGGGGTAAAGTTCGTGAAGGAAAGCCAAAAAGATAGCTTGGGGTCAATTTATAAGAGGCCTCAAATGCAGAATTAAGGAGCCTGGACTTTTTGCAAACACTAAAGGTCTGAAAGCAGGGCTTGACTTAAGATCTGTTTTTGAAAAAACTAGAGCTGTTAGCAGTTAGGATGGATAAGAGTAGTGCAGAAATGCAGATGGAGCTAGTGCAGTCCTGTGGGCAGGTGCCTGGAAGGATCTGCAGAAGTTCTTGCCGCAGATGCAGTGGCTGGGAGATTGTAGGCAGGCAAGGACTGAAGAGACTTGAGAGAAGATCGTCACTGCTTCTAGTCTCTTCACATTGCTTTCCTTTTTGAGCAAGTTGCTAGGAGGTGAGAATTTGCCCTTTCAGGCCGTGGGCACTTTTCATGCTCCATGTCCATAGTGGTCAATGCTTTCCACTCATAAGATAATAAGAAAATTCTTGGAAGCTGGGGGTGGGAGAGTGGGGCTCTGGACTGATGTCTTCACCTTGAAGGCAATCAGACTGTCTTGGATTTGAATCACGAACTTGAGCTCTGCAGCCTTAACAGCCTCCATGGAGCTTTCTCCACTGGGAGAGGAAACTTTTGATGAGTCTGTGCACATAATCATGGACCTTTCATTTCACAGAATTTACATTCACATTATCTGACCTCGCTTAAAACTTGGAACAAGCATTTTCATTATTAACATTTTAGTTATCTCCTCATACTTTTTTCTTAAATTTATTAGATTAGGTTTTATTTATTTATTTATTTATTTATTTATTTCCTTTTTCTCCCCAAAGCCGCCCAGTACATAGTTGTATATTCTTTGTTGTGGGTCCTTCTAGGTGTGGTATGTGGGACACTGCCTCAGCGTGGTTTGATGAGCAGTGCCATGTCCGCGCCCAGGATTCAAACCAACGAAACACTGGGCCGCCTGCAGCGGAGCGCGCGAACTTAACCACTCGGCCACGGGACCAGCGCCATAGATTGGTTTTATTGATTTTGTTTTGTTTTGTTTTTAACTGATTTGGAGATTTGCTGTCAATAAATCCCCTAGCACTTTCTAGATTGTTTGTATTTTGAGATTATTTGAAATTAACCTTAGGACAGGGAACATATATTTAACTAATTATCTAGTTTTCCTCTTTTGGGGAGTATTTGCCAGCTAGAAAAGTTGATAGATGATAAGAGAAAAGGAAACAAGAAAACGACGTGCATTTGAAATGCTAATTATTTTTCTTTTCTATTTGTAGGCGAGCGATATGTGATGACATTCTTGAATGTGTTAAATTTTGGCGATCAGGGTAAGATGAAATTCTGTAGTGTTTTAATTAAAGGTGAATACTGTTAGTAGCTATTTTCTAATATTTTTCTCTGCAGTTTGATACATTTAATGAAAACTGAACCTGAAGATTATAAAAAATGAAGATTGTAAAAAAACAAATCCTGAAGATTGAAAATTGTATGTCTCTGTAAATATGCAGTGTCCTAACTATCCCCTCTCATGTGACTTGGGTAGCATGTTCTCTGTTGAGATCTCTGTCCTGACCCTGTTTTCTGCAGAGCTCTGGTGCTCATTGTAGGGGTTGGGAGGTACTAAGAGAGGAGAAAATGGAGCTCTCCTTCACAGTCACAAAGATTTGCCCCATGTGTGTGTGGCTAGATAGGTCTCAATATTGTTTTCATATTTATTTTTTAATATAATCTCAAAGTAGTGGAAATAAAAATAGAAAAAAATCAACTTGTCATTAATGACTTTTATAAAAAAGTGCTGGTGATGGAAATGACTATCAATGTCAGTATCCTAGTTGTGACATTGTATTAAAGTTTTGCAAGATGTTACTATTTGGGGAAACTGGGCAAAGGGTACATGGATCTCTCTATTATTTCTTACAACTACACATGAATCTATAATTATCTCAAAAAGTTTAATTTAAAAATAATTAAATGAGAAAAAACATTTTAATAGTGCTGTGAAAATTCAAATAGAAAAACCAGGAGGATTGGTGTTTCTTCCTTTTTGTTTTGTAGGTATATATGATATAGTGAATAATCTTGGCTCCCTTGTGGCCAGATTAATTTTCCAGCCGATAGAGGAGAGTTTTTATATCTTCTTTGCTAAGGTGCTGGAGAGAGGAAAGGATGCCACACTTCAGAAGCAGGTAGTCTTGGTTCTTATGTCACCACCTCTCAAGTGAATTCTCTCTCTAATGGTAAGACAGAAATGTGGAGCAGTCTGTTTCCATTCTGTTTGATTTGAAATTTTTATTCTTTTATCACATTCTGAATGATGGCAGGACCCTGAGCTCACTTCTTTCACAGCCTTCTCCCTTTCCTCCTGGCTGGCCCTTCCTTGTCACCCCTTTGTCCCTCTTTGTGGCCATCTTCTTGACCCAGCCCTCTCAGAACGCTCTACAGCTGTCTCCCATGGTCTAGTCTTAGGTATAAGAATGAGATTGCCTCCTCCATCCTCAGATTCTCAAGAACCTAAGGAGCCAGAGGATGCAGAGACTGGGCAAGGCTAATCTAGGGCATGGGGAAGAAAGGATGTGATCATTTGGTTTAAGCTTGTTAAGGACTGTAAAGTGCCCAGAGCTACATTCTGACTGTGAGAATCTACATACTCTTGTTAGTAAAACAGAAAAAGAGATTTTAATCCAGAAGTATCTGGTTGTAAAAGCTTAACTTTTTCTAAAACCATTGAAAATGTCTGACTCTCTTAGAATTAAAAGCAAGGTAAGTCATCCTCTTACAAGTCTTAGAAGATAGGTGCAAAATATAGTTTATATACAATATTTCAAAATGAGTTAATCTGGTTCTCAGTCTGATTTGGAATACTTTCCTAAGCCTACGTTCAGGAACATCAGGATTTGGAGACGTTTGTCAGAAGCAGCACACTGATGAAGCTGGTTAGCAGTGTAAAACTTGCTGTCCATTTAAGAGTGAATATCAGAGGGGAAAGTGAGTGTTTCCTAAGCAACATTTGAAATAATTTATCTAAAATAAGTTAAAAACTAAACCTCCTCCTCACTACCTAAGGAGGTACACATTGTCTTTTTTCCTTCATTTGCCGATTGACATAGAAACAAACATAGGCTACAGAAAAGCAGTGATGGTGTCACCAGTTGAAAGAGTGTTCTGGAATATAGCAAAGGAGAAGGCCAGATGTGAAGTTTTTCTTTAGCGCATGATTCATCCAACTTCCTTCCCTCTTCCCCGGCCCCAGGAGGATGTTGCTGTGGCTGCCGTGGTTTTGGAGTCCCTCCTCAAGCTGGCCCTGCTGGCTGGCCTGACCATCACTGTTTTTGGCTTTGCCTATTCGCAGCTGGCTTTGGATATCTACGGAGGGGCCATGCTTAGCTCAGGATCAGGTATGAGCAACAGTTTTGCCAGATTTGCTCTAATTTCCAAACAGAAATAGAAGAGTCTTGTGAAATTCAAGAACTTGTGCACATATAGTTGATATCCATGTCAGTGTAGGGAAAATCGTCGGTGGCTGGGGCTGTGGGACTGTTCCCCTCACACAAGGTCAGACCACAGCTCAGGGTGCGGTCAGGGCTTTTGGCACCGGGTCACTCAGTTCCCCAGCCTCACTTGGAGGAGCTACGATTCCTTGGCTTTCCTCTCAGGCTCAAGTGTATTTTGCCAAGTGCTTCCTCGGACTCCATTGGGTGAAGGAGGAAGCGGAGAGCAGGCTCTAGTGAGTCTGCACTTGGTACGAAATACATCTGAAGATGGTAAATGTCACATCAATCTCGTGGGCTGATGCATGAAAGCCTCTGAAGGATAACCCAGAGCCATTTGCAGAGAATAAAATTGATCTCGGCAAATAAAATGGTATGTTTAATCCAGTGACTCTTGTTTTGAAGGAGAAAAGTATTGAAGGCATTGTAACTTTGAAACACCTGGTGCTCAGGCCACTGAGCGTCTCACAGCACTTGCTCGGCCCTGGGGACTCGACCACTTTCAAAATCCCTGGGGCCATAGGCTGGCAATCCATTTGCAATGTTTCATCTTGGGTTTGGCAAAGATGTTTTTAATTCCTCAAGTCACTAGACAGAAACTTTGAAGTCTTCTTTCTTCTGCTCCATCTCAATGTAAAATTGGAGACTTTGTCAAATGCCATTTCACAAATTCATGATAATGTTTTCGTCTCCACTATAATGGGTCCCAAACGTTTCGTGTTAGGGGAAGAAGGGCCAAGTTTCTATACTAGAGCAAAGGTCATTAAATTTGGAAAAACACCTGCTATGAAACCAATGAAGTGGTTTGCAGCTCCCCGGGCATGTACCTTGAGAAGAAGAACATTTCCATCAGGCAACTGCAGGGAGGTCTCATTGGAAGCCATTAGTAAGTGAGTGTGCAGAGACTGGGACTCAGCTGTTTCACAGAAACAGAAACCTTTCACAGAAACCTTCTGAAAGGTAAGCACCAAGGCAGGCAATCACAGGACACTGCCAGGAGGAGAAGGCTGTCTCATTAATGTCATGCTCACCTGGTGGCATAATCAATCACAGACGATATATAAATGAGATGCTGGTGCCAGTTTTGAGCATTGATAATAGACTTATCAATTAAAGGGTCAGTGCTAGTTGATTTCTAAGATAATAAATTCTGTCTCTAATGGTTTACATCAGAGTCAGTCATAATTTTAGACTCAAAAAGGTACTCTCCCAGTCTCATCTTTAGACTAAGTAGAGTCTTGAGAATGGTCTGGTTTCTCAGTCTCTGAGAAGAATATGTGGTTTGGTGTGCCACTGCAGGATCTTTAGGACCATTGTCGTCTCTTGCCTGGCCCAGGGCTCCATCAGCATCACTGCCCCAACAGGGTCTTCTAGCATTTTTCTCCTCATTGTAGCTGCCTCTCATTCTGACCAAACTTGCAGCTCTCTGTCAAACCCAGAGGGGCCTCTAGTAGGGTCAGTCCATCTCCCCAGGGTGCCTGCTGGCTTTCCTTCCCTTGTCTCTGTGCTGCCCCTCATCTCCTTGCACTTCTCCTGACTGTACCCGAATGCCTTTTCTACACCAGAAAATACTAACACTGCTGCTCTCCCCTCCCCACCAACAGTCTTTTCTGTTCACTTAAATACCTCACAAAACTTGACTTCCTCCAGAAAGTCTTCCTGAATTAATCAGAAAAGAAGGGCAACTTTCCATGGCTCAGCCCAACCACCCTAGTTTTGAAAGTAGAACTTGCAATGCTGCTGTCCTCAGTTGCCCCAGTTGCATATTGGTCTTTGTCCTTACCCGGGAAGGGGACTTGCCAGTGACCTGAATTGGCTTCTTACACCCTCTAGCTTCTGTGCTGCCATCTCCAAATGTGGGACTCAGACACAGCATGGACAGGCTTCCGTGGGAGGCACTGTGGTTTTGCTTTGCATTATTTATGATCAGCACTGTGTGTAATTAGGGGCTTTGTAAGTACTCTAGAGACTTTTCTCAGGAATCTTTCTCATACCTAGCTTTTCCACCCTTTAGAAAAACACACATTGGCGTTCTTCCCTGAGATTCTCACATTTATGTCTTAGGTGCTTCTCTCTTCTTTTACTTTTTAAAATCTGTTTCTTCCCTCTATCCCGTTGTATTAGTTTCTTAGGGCTGCAATAACAATATACAACAAATTGGATGGCTTAAAACAATAAAAATGGATTGTCTCACGGTTCTGGAGGTCCGAAGTCTGAAATCAAGGTGTCAGCAGGGCCATGCTCTCTGATGGCTCTAGAGGAGGACCCTTCCTTGCCTCTTCTAGCTTCTGGTGTTTGCTGACAATCCTTGGCTTGTAGATACATTACTCCAGTCACATGGCTGTCTTCTCCTTGTGTGTCTTCACATCGTTTTCCCTCTATGAGTGTCCCTGTGCCCAAATTTCCCCTTTTTGTAAGGACACCACCATAATGGGTTAGCGCCCACCCTAATGACCTCAATTTCACTTGATTTTCTCTATAAAGACCATATTTCCAAATAAGATCGTTTCTAAGGTACTAAGTGTTAGGACACCAACATACTTTTTTGGGGTATATAATTCAACCCATAACACCCCTCAGTTCAATCCATAGTTTAAGGTTCCATCCATGAATTCCCCAATTTTAGCCTTTTTCCCTAAAATTGACTCAGAGCCTTTCCACTTGAATCAGTTTCATGCAAGAGTTTGTGTTCTCCGTGTTGCAAAGCAGCTCACTATCCACCTTCACTAGGCCCACACATGCTATTAGCTTTCCATTACCAAGTGAGAAGTGCAGGTTATGAGAGGAACCCCGTTCCTCTCTCTCAGAGAGAGGAGGGTAGAGAGATGCAGCAGGCACAGTAGGCATAGCCTCGAGCCATCCCAGGGCAGCATCTGCTCCCTACCACCTTGTCTGGAGTCGTCCCTCAGCTGCGGTGGGGGCCAGGCTACTTTATGCAGTGGCTTGAGGAATGAAGTGCAGCGTGGCTTGATACAATGTGGAGCCCAGGAAAGAGCCATGGAAAACAGTTTTTGTTGGGCATCACGTCTGCCCTATTAATATTCCTTTGGTAATTTTTGACTGCCATACAACTGTGTAGGGTCTCCATGGCACAAGGATCTTTCATATTAAGCAGCTTTCGTAAACCATGAATAAGTTCCAGATTATGAGACTCTGAAACTTCAGTCGCCCCCTGTTTTCTTTTAGTCGTTAAGTTTTTTCTTTATTGAGGTCTAATTTACATAAAGTAAAATGCTATACTCTTTTAAGACCATAGTTTGATGAGTTTTGACAAATATATACACCCACGTAACCAACATCCACATTAAGACACAGAACATTTCCATTACCCCAGGAAGTTCTCTCAGGGCCCTTTCCAGTCCACTGCCCCCTCTACCTCAGAGGCAACCCCTGATCTGATTTCTATCACCATAGATTAGTATTACTTTTAAAAAGAATTTCATGTAGATGAAATCGTATAGCATGGACACTTTTGTCTTTGGCTTCTTTCCCTCAATATAAGGTTTTTGAGATTCATGCATGTTTTTACATGGATCAGTCATTTTTTCCTCTTTGATTGCTGAGAAGTATTTCTTTGTATGGATGGCCCGCAGTTTATCCTTTCTCTTGATGGTTTGTTTTGGCTATTATGAATAAAACTGCTATGGGCATTTTTGTACAAGTGTTGTTGTGAACATGTGTGCTTATTTCTGTTGGATGTGTACTTAGGCATGAAATTGCTGGGTCATAGGCTAGGTATATGTTTGTTTTATTAGAAATTGCTTGGCTGCTTCTTGATAATGGCCCTCTGAGAAGAGGGGATCAGTCCTATTCGTAAGGCTCCTAATCTTTTGTTGGCAGATTTGTCCAAAGTTTGTTAGTTAGCTGTAGAAGCACATCACTTTGTTTTAGGAGAAAAGAACATTGTAGGCTTTGGCTCTTCCTGCAGATTTGTGGGTGCTCTATCTCCGTGGCTTCCTGCTGCTCTTGAGCCCCGGGCTTCTCCCCAAGGTCTTTTCTTCAGGACCTCTCAACTGAGGTTCTCTTTTTTTTTTTTTTTTTATTGAGTTATTGATAGGTTACAATCTTGTGAAATTTCAGTTGTACATTAATGTTTGTCAGTCATGTTGTAGGTGCACCACTTCACCCTTTGTGCCCACCCCCCACCCCACCTCTCCCCTGGCATCCACTAAACTGTTCTTAGTCCATAATTTTAAATTCCTCATATGAGTGGAGTCATACACAGATTATCCTTCTCTCGCTGGCTTATTTCACTCAACATAATTCTCTCAAGGTCCATCCATGTTATTGCAAATGGAATGATTTTGTTCTGTTTTGCAGCTGAGTAGTATTCCATTGTATATATGTACCACATCTTCTTTATCCATTCATCTGTTGCTGGACACTTAGGTTGCTTCCACGTCTTGGCTATTGTAAACAGTGCTGCAACAAACATTGGGGTGCATAGGACTTTTGGGATTGCTGACTTGAAGCTCTTTGGATAAATACCTAGTAGTGGGATGACTGGATCGCATGGTAGTTCTATTTTTAATTTTTTGAGGACTCTCCATACTGTTTTCCATAGTGGCTGCACCAGTTTGCATTCCCACCAGCAGTGTGTGAGGGTTCCTTTTTCTCCGCAACCTCTCCAACATTTGTTGCTATTAGTTTTAGATATTTTTGTCATTCTAACGGGTGTAAGGTGATATCTTAGTGTAGTTTTGATTTGCATTTCCCTGAAGATCAGCGATGATGAGCATCTTTTCATGTGCCTATTGGCCATCAGTATATCTTCTTTGGAGAAATGTCTGTTCATGTCTCCAGCCCATTTTTTGATTGGGTTGTTTGATGTTTTGTTGTTGAGTTGCGAGAGTTCTTTATATATTATGGATATTAAGCCCTTGTCAGATATATGACTTGCAAATATTTTTTCCCAGTTAGTGGGTTGTTTTTTTGTTTCAGTCCTGTTTTCATTTGCCTTGAAGAAGCTCTTTAATCTGATGAAGTCCCATTTGTTTATTCTTTCTGTTGTTTCCCTTCTCTGAGAAGGCATGGTGTCCGAAAAGATCCTTTTAATACTGATATCAAAGAGTGAACTGCCTACGTTTTCTTCTAGAAGCCTTATGGTTTCAGGTCTCACCTTTAGGTCTTTGATCCATTTTGACTTTATTTTGGCAAATGGTGAAAAAGAATGGTCAATTTTCATTCTTTTACATGTGGCTTTCCAGTTTTCCCAGCACCATTTGTTGAAAAGACTTTCTTTTCTCCATTGTATGCCCTCAGCTCCTTTGTCAAAGATAAGCTGTCCATAGATGTGTGGTTTTATTTCTGGGCTTTCAATTCTTTTTTTTTTTAAAGATTTTATTTTTTTCCTTTTTCTCCCTAAAGCTCCCCAGTACATAGTTGTATATTCCTCGTTGCAGGTCCTTCTAGTTGTGGCATGTGGGACGCTGCCTCAGCGTGGTTTGATGAGCAGTGCCATGTCCGCACCCAGGATTCGAACCAACGAAACACTGGGCCGCCTGCAGCGGAGCGTGCGAACTTAACCACTCGGCCACGGGGCCAGCCCCTGGGCTTTCAATTCTGTTCCATTGATCTGTGCATCTGTTTTTGTACCAGTACCATGCTGTTTTGATTACTGTAGCTTTGTAGTATGTTTTGAAGTCAGGGATTGTGATGCCTCCCCTTTTGTTCTTTTTTTTCAGGATTGCTTTAGAAATTCGGGGTCTTTTGTTGCCCCATATGAATTTTAGGATTCTTTCTTCTAATTCTGTAAAGAATGTCATTGGGATTCTGATTGGGATGGCGTTGAATCTATAGATTACTTTAGGTAGAACAGACATTTTAACTATGTTTATTCTTCCAATCCATGTACATTGAATGTCTTTCCATCTCCTTATGTCATCATCCAATTCTCTCAGAAGGGCCTTGTAATTTTCATTATATAGGTCCTTCACTTCCTTAGTTAAATTTACCCCAAGGTATTTTATTCTTTTTGTGGTGATTGTGAATAGTATTGTATTCTTGAATTCTTTTTCTGTTGGTTCATTACTGGAGTATAGAAATGCTACTGATTTATGCAAATTGATTTTATACCCTGCAACTTTGCTGTAGTTGTTGATTACTTCTAACAGTTTTCCAATGGATTCTTTGGGGTTTTCTATATATAAGATCATGTCATCTGCAAACAGCGAGAGTTTCACTTCTTCCCTCCCTATTTGGATTCCTTTTATTCCTTTTTCTTGCCTGATTGCTCTGGCCAGGACCTCCAGTACTATGTAAAAAAAGGGTGGTGATAGAGGGCATCCTTGTCTCATTCCTGTTTTCAGGGGGATGGCGTTCAGTTTTTGCCCATTGAGAATGATGTTGGCTATGGGTTTGTCATATATGGCCTTTATTATGTTGAGGTAGTTTCCTTCTATGCCCATTTTGTTCAGAGTTTTTATCATAAGTGGCTGTTGGATCTTGTCAAATGCCTTCTCTGCATCTATTGAATTGATCATGTGGTTTTTATTCCTCAACTGAGGTTCTCTTATTATGCAGGGCCACCAGTGTCCTTGAGTGCTCAAACTAGTGGGCCTCTTCATTCTGATTTAAAAAGCGAGAAGATTTACTTGCTGGTCAGATAATCGTTGTTAAGCAAGAGATTGGTACATTTATTCATAACTGTCCTTTTGTTTTTAGCTGTTTATTTTAGTCAGTGCTGTGGAGTGCTGGGAGAGTCCTTCCAGGTACTTAAGACCATAGGCTCAAGCATGCATCTGCCCATTGACGATACTGGCTGGGCTCATGACCCAGTTCTGGCATTCTCTGCCATCCAGTTCAACTGAGGGTGCATGTGGGCCTCCTCCTTGGGCTCTGGGATCACAGTGGGTTGTTTTCCTTATAGGTCCTATTTTGCTGCGCTCCTATTGTCTCTACGTCCTCCTGCTTGCCATCAATGGAGTGACCGAGTGTTTCACATTTGCTGCCATGAGCAAAGAGGAGGTTGACAGGTAGGTAACCTTAAAGACACACTTTTAATCATGGCCTTCAACCCAAATGAAGTGGCTTGCCAATCTTTCTTTTCGTTCTCAACATGCATTTACGGAAGGCTGTTTTAGAGGTAGCCCCGAGACCACTAGTGTGGGGTTTTCCCTAGGCCATCCTTGCACAGGCACCATTCAGTTAGTCCTTCCCAAGGTAGGGCTGTGGGGGCAGCAGCTGCTCTTTGCCTCCCTTTGTGGAGGAAGGCATCTGGGCTCTGAAGGGTTATGTCAGTACAGGTTTGCGGAGGCAGGCACAAGACAAGCTCCACTCCTCTACCTCCTTGCCCAGTGCTCCAGTGGGTTATTCAGGGGAGGAAGACATTTCTTCTACCCACTCTGGGTCCTTGCTGGACAACAAGTTAAATTTGCATGAGACAGAATAACAGAAGAAAATTAAAGTTTTATAACGTGTACATGGGAGAGACCCAGGAAAACTGAGCAATTCACCTAAATGGTGGAAGCTCTCACCTTAAATACCATCCTCAGCTAAAGACAAAGGAGGATGTTGGGGGTAGCGTGAGTCAGTTACAGAAGGTTACCAGACAAGCACAGTAAACAAGAGTAAGGTTATTATGCAGATTTAAGTCCTTGCCTTCTGCCTTGATAAGAGTTTCTAGAGATAAGGTCACCCCCCTTCTTCCTGGTACAGAGAGGGAGACACCTTTACAGATGGAGATTTCCCTTACAAATGTAAACGTCTCTTACAAAGGGTAAGGAAATTCTACTTTTCAGAGTTTCTCTCATGTCTGCAGTTTTGAAAAGTAGCCAGCCCAAAATAATTCTCATGGCAAATAGACATAACTTGGGGTGGCCAATTCCAATCCCCTACAGTTACCAAGGAGCTTCTTCAAGATGCAGAGTCCTACCCCTGAGAATCTGATTCAAGGGTCATTGAGAATCTCAGGGATCTGTGACACCTCTCCTCAGAGAAAGGCCTAAGTGCACATACACGTTTTGCCACATTTTTTTCCCTTCCATTGACCCCAGATCAAGACCTCTGTCCTGGAACCTCAAGCACTGGTTCTTAACACTTGTTATGAGTCAAAATCCACCACAGAGCTTGTTAGAAATGCAGATTCCTGCCCACCCTACTTCCACCACTCTCTCTCCTCCCACACCTGCAGGATCAGCAGGCCTCCGAGCATGTGTATGTTTTTTGAATCGTCAGTGATTCTGACGTGACTCCTGGCTCAGAGCCTCTGGCCCACACCCATCCAGGGTCATTCATTCTTGTGTCCCGAATGCCAAAAGTAGCAAGACAGTACCTTAAGATGTCACTACAGGATGAGGTTGAGGACAAGGATAAAACTGATAGGGGAGAAGAAGAGAGAGGAAACAGGAGAAGAGAGTAGAGGGGTGAGTGTAGGTAATAGGGCAAGTAGCCCTCATTATCCCTTTGCCCCTTGAGGCCTGGGTCCCTTGGGGGGTTTCTGCTGCTCTGTAATGCCTTGAGTGCTGTTGAAAGCCCTGAGAGGCCCGGTGTGGGGGTGGGATGGGGAAGGGGCAGCTCAAAGAGTTGGGGAACTCTTCCTCCCATTTCAGAGCTGCCTCTATCTGCTTCCCATTTGGGGCTGTCGCAAAAAGCAGCTTGGTGACTGTTTGCTACCGTAGTTGAGGATTAGAGTCTGGAGCAGCCATCCCAGCCCAGACCAGATTCACCTTGGAAGTACTGGCCCCCTCCAAGACCAACAACTAGAATTTTAGGGGCTTGGGCCAGGGAATCTGTTTTATTATGCAGCTTCAGGAGATTTCTGATGATAGCTAGGGCCTTAGGAACCACTGGCCCAGACCAGCTTTATCAGTAAAAACTGCATTAGCACTGTGACCCATACATATTTAGGTGGACATGACTGAAACGAAGCTTTCACACAGCAGTAAGTACCCTAGTTATGCACAGGACACACTGATGGTTTTTATTCCATTCTATTTCATTTCTTTTTTCTTTTTTTTTTTTGAGGAAGATTAGCCCTGAGCTAACTACTGCCAATCCTGCTCTTTTTGCTGAGGAAGACTGGCCCTGAGCTAACATCCATGCCCATCTTCCTCTATTTTATATGTGGGACGCCTGCCACAGCATGGCTTTTGCCAAGCAGTGCCATGTCCACACCCGGGATCCCAACCGGTGGACCTCCAGCCGCCAAGAAGTGGAACATGTGAACTCAATTGCTGCGCCACCAGGCCGGCCCTCTATTTCACTTCTTCAACTACCGTGTCATGACCCACTAAATTGACTTCCCAGCCCTACTTTTGGGTCACAACCGTAGTTTTCCAAATAGTGGTCTAGACATGGTTTTTACCTCAGATAGTTAAATTTATAGCTATGAAACTGCTTTGAGTCCATCCCTTGATTTTTTTCATTTATGAAAAGGTCTATTTAACTTTAACTTTGAAAATACAGTTTTTATTTGAAAGGTGCTTCTAACATTTTTAAATATAATTTAAAACATACTAAATATATAAAAAATATAATTTAAAACATACTAAATATATAAAAAATATAATTTAAAACATACTAAATATATAAAAAATATAATTTAAAACATACACAGGCATAGTGGAAGAGAGCTCCAGACTAGGAATCTGTCTCTCTGAAGAGAATTCTATTACAATAATTCCAGCATTAGTGTTGAGGGGGAGAGTTGACACTAAACTTGCTTAAAATGTTTAAAAAAATCTCTTACGGCCAAATCATGAGGGAATGTAGACAGTGGCTGGCTGCTTTCTTTCCTCTTATGTTGTATTGAACCAAAGGAAACAAGTTTTTAAGTTAGTTACAATGGGATTTTGACAGTCCATAAATATCTGGAAAATTATTTTCATGGTATTAGTTAACAGAGAAAAGACAGAGCCAGAGCACCTTCTAATGCAGTTCCCCCTGAAGTAACTCACTTCCCATAAGAGTAAAATGTGACATTAAGCATGGTCTTCAGACACGTGGTAAACATAGTAGCCCCAGTTCTGCCTGGGCCCCTGGCCCCAAGCCCCGGCCCTGCTCTGAGCATGTGGAGCACCTGGGCTCATCACAGAGCCTGGCATTTTTGTCATCTCTATAAATTTAAGCAGACATAAAACTTTAGTAAGAGCTTTTATAGTAGAATTGGGCCGCTTAGTTCAATGTTATGATCGATTTACGTTGGACATCCCAGATTCTGAATTGAAAAAAATAATTGATAAAATCATGGGTTTTTACTTAACCAACTTCAGGTTAATCAGTGTTTTTCCAAATAAAAGTGGGGCATTTGGTTGCATGTGAAATATTAGAACATCCTTTGAAGTGCAAGTTGCTTTTTTTTTTTTTAATAACCTCATAGTATAGAGAGAATATGATGGATGGTTTTTGGGTTTCTGTGTGTGTGTGTGTGAGGAAGACTGCCCCTGAGCTAATATCTGTTGCCAATCTTTCTCTTTTTGCTTGAGGAAGATTGTCACTGAGCTAACATCCCTGCCAGTCTTCCTCTACTTTATGTGGGATGCCACTACAGCATGGCTTGACAAGCAGTGCTAGGTCCATGCTTGGGATCCGAACCTGTGAACCCTGGGCCACCGAAGCAGAGTGCATGAACTTAATCACTGTGCTACCGGGTGGCCCCGATTGATGGATTTTTCATTATGCCCTATTAAAGAATTTTTGTCTGTTTTGTTAAGGCTATCTCATTTTCTTTCCTTCGTCTGACAAATCTTTTTGAGCATCTTCTCTTTAACAGGTATTCTTTTAAGCTCTAGGAATTCAGCAACGAATAAGACAAGATCCCTACTCTCCTGGAGCTGACAGTGGAGAGGCAGGTAGCAAAACAGTAAATAAATAAGATAATGTTGTGCTGTGCGGAGGACTAAAACAGGGTTGTGTAGTGAGAATGAGGGCCTTTTTAGATTGAGTAAGGTGTGCAGGCCCCTCTAAGGAAGTGGCATTTATGCTGAGGCCTGGATGACCAAGAAGAATCTGCCATGCAAAGATGGGGCAGAGTGTTCCAGACAGAGGGGACAGTGATGCAGAGGCCCAAGATTGACAGCTCCTTTGTTGATTTGTTGGCCCTGGAATACCCAAAATCAAGTTGGACTCCATAACTGTTGAATGAAAGATGAATGTGATCTTCTCACTTTGGTACATAAGAGATTGGTGCCATTCTTCTCATGGCCACACAGGCTACATTGTATGGCTCTGCCTTAATGTATTCAACCATCACCCGCTGGGGGACGCTTCAGTTGCTGCTGTGACTGATGTCCTTGGCCATCCATCTTTTCATAGGCCTAGTTTTAAGTCCAATATCTTCTTGGGGCCATGGAAAAAAACATTTATAAATAATTTACTGTTTATCTTAACCAAACCTTATAAAATAGTCATTATTGTCACTGATTAACTTCACATTGATTTAGAAAGTGGTATTTTAATTGCATCTTTGAATTCCTTATCTTTTCCTGAGGTGGATTATGCCTTTATGGCTATAGGTTTGTGAGTTCTGGAAAGCTCAACAGCTGCAGTGGCCTCTTCTGGTGAAAAACAGTGGACCCCATCGTTGTCAGCTCCTCCCAAATGGCCACACCAAAGAAGCTACACTGTTGAATTTGTCCCTACTTGAGTTAGCATGAATTACCTATTGGTTTTATTCATTGTTGCCATTTTACTTGGAGTTGGGTGAGAATGACTTTGAAAGTTTGTAAATCTATGGCTTAGACTCCAAGGATTGGTCTTACAGACCTTTCTGAGATAGTTTCTGAAAAGAACAAACAGATTACACATCTCTGCTTCTTTCTGGACAAGAGGTCAGAGTACTGATCTGTGATGGGCCCCACCCTCAGTGGCTTGTTAGGAAGTTGGCCATTCTGATCACTGATTAGTAGTTAGTGGAGAAACTTCCTCTATGGAGGTGTGGGCTCTTGTACTTCAGTTGCTCTTTAGAATTCTGGATGAAAGCACACTTCCCCTGTTTGGAGTATAGTATGTGTGTGTGTGTGTATGTGTGTGTGTGTGTGTGTGTGGTATTCTTACCACCCACTCTGGTAAAATATATCTCCACACCACCTTGGGTTGGGCTTGGTTAGCCTGGGGACCAGTACCATTGAGAGCATACAGTGGCTTTCTTACCACCCCTCATGTGCAGAACTTGAGTGGTGGCCTCTGAGGTTTCCTAACCAGGAGACACAGCTTGGGGGCCTAAGGGGTTTGGCTCCCTCCACAACAGCTATGCACTTAGAGTGCCTGCTGTGCACTAGGTAGAAACCAGATGCTGGAGAAGTTTGTTTGTGGCTGTACCACAAGCCTTTTGGGGGACTATGGCAGCTATGCTATCTTTGCTGAGAAGTGAATATAACTAAGTGACATGCTGCTTTAAATCAGAGAAGAGAAAAGAGCGGTATAATTCATCCTGTCATAGATCCAAAGAGCTCTAGAGATAATAGTGAGCAGGAAGAAGGATGTGTGCGAGTCTAGAGAACGCTGAAGGGGACGCAGGCCTTGCTGCCTCTCTACGTTTCATTGTGAAGGCTGGTCACTTGGTTTGAGTGAGGTCCACTGGCCAAGGTTATGGGGCTACTGCATTTTCCAAGGGAAGCAGTGTGAGGCGCCGAAGTTCAGGGGCCAGGGGTCAGGTTGGAGTGTTGGCTCACTCTTCAGGCCAATTACTCAGCCTCTCTCTGCCTGGTTTCCTTGACTGTAAAACGAATCCAAGCTCCACCGGCCCAGGACCATGTGTGTCCCTTCACCAGTGTATCCCTAGCGCCCCTCACAGTGCCTGTCCCAGAGTTAGCATTCATCTAGAATTATTAGCGGGGTCATATTCTTGAGCCTCACTTTGAAGGCTTGGGCTGGACAGGATTTTTGTGTGTTTTGATCACAAAGTGTCACTTCAACTAACCAATTATTATCCTTAAAAACTACAAGTATCTTGAGTTGTTCATTTTCTTACTGTTCCATTATGTTATCCGTATAGCATTCAATGTTATGAAAACCAGCTGGATTATGGGAATTCAGAGGTGCTTGCTGTGAATTCAAGTTCACAGCCAGTTTTTTTGCGATAGTCCTGTCTTGAGACAGGGTACCCACTGCCCTGCTTTGCTTGTCTCCCTCTCCCCAGGTACAATTTCACAATGCTGGGCCTGTCATCTTCATTCCTGGTGTTATCCTATCTCCTGACCCGTTGGTGTGGCAGCGTGGGCTTCATCTTGGCTAATTGCTTTAACATGGCCATTCGGATCACACAGAGCCTTTCCTTCATCCACCGCTACTACCAAAAGAGCCCCCACAGGCCCTTGGCTGGCCTGTACCTGTCGCCGGTCCTCCTCGGGACATTTGCCGTCAGTGGTGGGATTACTGGTGTTTCAGAGGTGAGATTCCCTGCAGCTTCCCACCACATGCTTTTGCGGGCTGTCCACTCTCCCTCACTCTCGGCTTCTCCTTCCTGCACTGCCTGAACCAGCTGGACAAGTATTCACCTCCTCTTACCCCTTCCCCTAAGCCTCTAAGACAGCATCTTCTGAGAGATGTGACCAAACAGTGTTACCAGTGGGAACAGAGTAGACCCTCAGTATGCAGTTGGCGCACCCTTTATCTGACTCAGAGCTGGAATAATAGGACCTCTGCCTTCCCCAGCTTGCTCCAGAGGTAGAAGGTACAGATGGAGGGGCCGGAGCAGTGACAACTGTTTCTTTCTGCAGGTGTTCCTCTGCTGTGATCAGGGCTGGCCAGCCAGGCTGGCACACATTGCTGTGGGGACCTTCTGTTTGGGAGCCACTCTTGGGACAGTGTTTCTCACAGAGACCAAGCTGATCCACTTTCTTAGGACTCAGTTAGGTGTGTCCAGACTCGCTGACAAAATGACATGACCTCAGGGATGCACTGACACCTGTGCCACCTGGACCAGCTGTGTGGTGGTTCTGTGGGTGGAACACATTTTCTGTACAGAAGAGTGCTGCTGGGGGCACTGCAGTGGAGTGAGACCAACCAAGGCAGGTGAGACACCAGAGAGAAGCAGCAGACCAACACTTACCGGCCACTTGAAGTCTGAAAGAGGAAGAAAGAGTTCCATTTTAAAGGAAGACCAAAAAGCTCTTTTAAAATAGATACAAGTATTTTTTTCACCATTTTGTTTGAATCGGCATTTTCCTTTTGATTAATGTATTCCTTTTGGGTATGATTGATCTTAGGAGCTACATGCTCCAATAAGGTATATCCTGGATATTAATAGTTAATAATTATCTGGCCCAGAAAAAGAGACATTGCCATTATCCCTTCACAGGAATATTTAACTCATTCTGTAAAAGAAGGAAGGAGACCTGATGTCATGTACCAAACAAGGACAGTGGTGGCCCTGGAGTTGTGGCTTTCCACATGACAACACTGTGGTCTGGGTTTTTAAAGAAGGAAAAACGTTACTCAGAAATCCAAGAGATTAAAATGCGAAGTCTTTCAGATCACATTTCCCGACTTAGCTTGGGGGAGTCATGCTTTATCCTCACTGCTGCGTCCCCCGGGCCAGCACAGGCTTCCCAGAGTTGGTGCAGGCTGCCTCAGGACCCCTGGCCTGGCCACCCAAAAGTGGGGGACCTTGAAGGAAACTGATCCATTGTGAGCTGTCCCCTAAAGGGAACACTGCTTTGCAGCTGGCTGTAACTTCTCACATGGAGATGGCACAGATGACAACTCAAGTTGAATGGATGTATCTTTTTTTCCTCAGAATAAAACAGGTAAATTTTTGTATGGCAAGTATCACTGAGTCAGGCCCCTCCTACTGACCCATGACTTCCAGCACTGGTCAGTGCACCGAAATTCCAGCCCCGGGACGAGAGCGACAGCCTGGTGGTCTGGTCCTCCAAGCTACAATGGGAGCCCAGGTTGAGGCTCACCTACCTCATCCAGCACCTGGCACCCAGCAGGTGAGGTCACCAGGCATTGTTCTGAGGCCACAGAGCATTTTTCTTCTTTCATTAATATATTAATTCCTTTTGGATGTAACTGATCTTTGGAGCTAGATGCACAAACTATCTTGGATGGTAATAGTAATCATCTGGCCCCAGTGTTCCCAAATTTCTATGTTTACACTCAGAGAACAGGTTGTTCGCCTGGGCTAGTCAGGGCAACTTGTATCAGATGGTGGTTTAGCTAAAATGCACACATTAAATCCACTGGCCCAGAGCCAAGGGGCAAAGGATCAGGGCCCACCAGTGCTCTGAGACAAGGGCCCGGGCACCTGGACCCCTTTTTATTCAAAGGGAGAATACTTTGCACTAACTGGAGGGGAAGTAGCTAAATGCAGAGTATCACAGAGCAGTCAGAGGCCCTGCAAAAGCAGTACCTTGGTCATGCTGTGTGAGGCAGGATCAGGCTTTCTCAGAGGAACTGATTATCCCATGTGGCAGTGCGGGTGGCACACAGATGACAGACCTCACTCCCTCCCATGTCCTTTTTCTCTCTCGAGTGTGCATAAATGGGCCTTTTGCCCTCACAAGTTCCTTCTCTGCTGCCCTTGACCCTCCCTCCCTCCTCTAGGGCCCTGTCAGCCACCCCATGCCCACTTGACCCCACACTCAAAGCATAGTCCTCGAACTATCTGCCTCAGAATCACCCAAATTGCAAGGTAGAAATGTAGGTTCCCAGGACCCACTCCAGACCTTTGGAGTCTGCATCTCTGGGAGCAGGTCTCTGGGATCAGCATTTTTTGGCAAACTGAGGTTGGCACACCCATCGTCCTCATCAGCCTCAGGGCTCAGGAGCAGTTGTGCACATGTTCACATGTCCAGTCTCTGCTCCAGGAAGAGAGCTGCTGTCACTGACTTCCTGAGCAGCATCACTGACTTCCCAGCTCTTCGGGAGCAGGACCACCAAGGCTTCTGCTCTGCTCTGCCACATGGAGAGAGGCTCTGTGTCTGACAGCAAGTGCTTGTTCTCTCGTCTCTCATCCGTCTGCCTGCAGTCTGCCTGGCGCTGCTGCCAGCACAGGACTGCCGCAGTCAGGGCCAGCTCCTCTTGAAAGATGGCCAGCTGGGATGGTGGCCCAGGGCTCCTTCCCGTGTCCTACTTCCCTGTTTATAGGAGGAGTAGTGCCCACAGCCGGATGGTTGGGGGAAGTGGCTGTTTTCCCATTACCAGCTCCTGCTCCTGTGCTGTCGGCACTGGCAGCAGGCCCTTTGCAGTTCTCCGAGGACCTCTACCTCCGCCCCCTGGCCGCCTCCCTGAAGTGCAGTTGGGCCTGACCACTGCCTCTGGTGCTTCCCCCTGCTGGCCCCCTAGAGCGACACTGTGCCTCATGGTGCTTGCTTACACGCATGCTGAGCTGCCTCACTTTACCCCAGAAGGATTTTTGGTGGGAATCACCCTTTTCCTTTAAGTACCGCTTAAAATATAGCGAGGCTGCTTCTCCAAGGAAACAAGTCTCTAAAGCACGTCCTTCACGAAGAAGCCTTTGCTGGTGAGAATAACAGTATTTCTTCTTTCTGTGCTGCTCTGGCCACACACATGTGATGGTGACTTCAAGTGTGGGCTGTCACATCCCTCCGAGAGGGGCTGTTGCTGCTGCTGCTGCGCTGCTCACCACTTCCTCAGCACGGACTCCTGGCTCTGGAAGCTCCCTGCGCTCGCCAGCCTAACCCTAGCAGGGCACCTCCTCCTGTCTTTTTTCTTTAATTATGTATTCATGTTGCTAATTTCATGTCAATTCCCTGATTTTAAAATGAATAAATCACTTTCTTCCTATCTTTGTGAAGATCTTTCATACACCTTGTCCTTCCAAAAAGGAAAACAAAATTTCTTAAATTTCAAAAGGAAGGTGGGCAAATAGCTTGAGTATGTGAACTGTGTTTATTCCTCCCTGTAACATTTCTCTTACATGGATGTTGTGGCTGGACTGCGACTTTGACAGAGAGGGCAGTTTCTGGGCTCTGCCTGGAGCTTCTGTGACTGGGACTGAAAAGCCCGGCAGTCCATCACCATGCCTCCCTCCCAGCCGAGGCAGTGGTTCCCGTTGTTTATTGTACTTTTCTCTCTCCTCTCTTCTCTGGCCTGCTCCTTGTCTTGGTCATGTTTTTAAGTTAAGCAGCCATTCTTTGATGGGTCAGGGCTAACATCAGGGGCAGGCAAAGCAAGTGTGTGACTTTAGGTAGCGTGATTCTGGGGGAGTCCAGGGTACCCCTTCACGCATGTGTCTTCCTCAGTTGGGTGCTTGAATTTCTTCTCACAGAGATCAAAGGCTGTTATTCCGTAATTGGAGAGGAGACAGGCATTCCATTCCCCCAGAGAAGGACTCAGTGACTCCTTCACACTAAGATGTAAAATAACCCCTTCAGGGATTCTTTCCTGAGCAGCTTTTGATGTTGAGAAAGAGACAGGAGCAGAGAGCATCCAATCGGGGACCTGAAGAAGAGGCTCCGGTGAGGGGCTGTGCAGGCCCCTGAAGGGAGGAGCTCTGAGTGCTGCTGTGTGGCCTCTAGGATGGATAGAATTCAGTTACCCTGGGCAAAAATCAGGAAGAATGTGATCCCTGGCCCAGTCTTGGAACAGCCATGACTGAAAATGGGGTTGGCCCTGGGGCAGGGGTGGGGGAGGCTCGAGAAGGGAAAGAATAAGCAGAGGACCCTTTACTACCTGCAAACCTGCTCTTAGGGGAGGCCAGGCCAGAGGCAGAAAGGGTGATCCTTTGGCATTGATGGCAAAGTGAGAAAGGCATGAAAAGTGCTTATTGGTGAGGAGAGCTCCCACCAGGAGCTCAGACAAGAGAACTTTTAGGAGCTGATCCACGGGCTCCAGGTGCTTGCTCAGGGTTCTCAGTGGCCCTAAGGAAGAGTTCTGGAACGCAAACCAGAAGCCAAGAGGCCTGTGGAGCCTGTCAGAAAGGACCAGATATGGAAAAAAGATGAGCTGAGGCATAATTGTCAGGATCCCCTAGAAATTTCTTGAAGACAGTGAAATACAGAGAACTGAAAGAGCAACTGAAATATCTTTTTTTTTTTGAAGATTAGCCCTGAGCTAACATCTGCCACCAATCCTCCTCTTTTTGCTGAGGAAGACTGGCCCTGAGCTAACATCCGTGCCCATCTTCCTCTACTTTATATGTGGGATGCCTGTCACAGCATGGCTTGCCAAGCAGTGCCATGTCTGCACCCACATCTGAAGCAGCGAACCCCAGGCTGCCAAAGCAGAACATGTGCACTTAACCACTGCGCCACCGGGCTGACCCCTGAAATATCATTTTATTTGCTGAATATTCCATGAGACTCTGGGAAGGGACTGAGACTCGGGTATTTAATTTGGAAATGAGACTTATGAGCCAGTCAGAGGCAGATAAGAAATTATTTGTTTTACTATTACTTGCTGTACCAGGGTGGATTATCCCTTAATGTTGTAAATATTTCATTTACTGATTAACTTCAAGTGTAAGCAGAAAAGATGTTTTATTTGAAGAATTTGAGGGGAAAGAAGACATACTGATTTGCATCATCAATCCGACCCCAAATACCATGGCATAACCAGTCCAATTATTTAGTGTCATTCATTTTTAACTAGAACCATCTGGGTACATCAGAGTAAAATTGGAAAAATGGGCTTCTCAAGTAGTTCAGCCTCCTTTAGGGGCCTAATGAAGGAAGTCTTGTAAATATTTCTTAATTATCCCTCAGATGAATTAGCAGAAATTGCTGGGTGCCCCTGTCCCATGTGGAGTCGACTCTTTGCCTGTTGACTTCTCCATCCTTCTTGGGCAATGTAGCTTACATGGAAAATGCTAGAGGTGAGATGTAGGCAGTTAGGTATTTCCTTCATGAACTAGGTCCTTGGCAGAGTAAGTGTACCCAGAACTCTGTCCTAGCCTCTGCAGGCTCCAGCACCCTTACTTTTGGAGACCCCTCCTCACAGCTTATCAACCATGTCCCACATTGAACATAACAAAGATATACATATACAAGAATTGTGGTTGGCTAATTGGCATGATGTTATGTTCTATAGACATGTAAACATCAATTTTTAAAGCTTTGTATTTCGAAGCCAGTAAATTTTGTTTCCCTTTCAATCATTTCTGTAGGTTCCTGAAGAGTTGAGGGGCCCTGGGTGCTGTGCCTGTGAGGCCAAATGAACAAAGGGAAGCTTTGGGAAGGAGGGAGGTGGGTGCTGGGAGGAGCAAGGCAGAGCCTGTGAGGCTGCCTGGCTGTGAGGCTGGCGGCACTGGGCACCGGGTAGCTCCTGGCCCTCTCTGCTCCTCCTGGCTTCACGCTGGCTGAGTCTCACCTCTCCTGGGGCCCAGGCAGTGGGCATTCAGGATGGCGGGCCATGAGAGCAGCAGTTCCCAGTACCAAATGCTGCTGTCCAGGGAGACGCCCAGCTTCTTCCATTGGTAAGAGTCTCTTTTCCGACCTTTTATCTCCAGCCCCCAGTCTCTCCTTTCAGCTTTAAGCTCCATTCTGAATGTAAAGCTCCTGAAGGAGAAGTGGAAGTGGCCCAGGTCATCTTTATAGGGCAGCTGCTGTGGGTCATGGGGCATAGGTGAGCCCATGGATGGGCCGCCCATGGGTCAGGTGAGCCCACAATTCAATCAGCTCTCGCTGTGAAGGGGCTGGGAGGGTGGCATGGTTTACCCGGGCCTGCCTCTTCCTTCAGAGGAGCTACATGAGGGCCCATGACAGAATGTCTGACTTGTGAAGGAATCTTCTAGACCACCATTTATTTGTCTCATTTCCTCCATCCAATAAATGTGTCCCAAAGTTATGGCCCTGTTGACTCCACTGTCACAATGTTGTTCTGCCCTGATAAATGCATTTGGCAGAGGCCACCTGGGTTAACAATGCTCAGTGGGAAAGGGCCCTGAAAAACTGGCCACTCTCGGTCCTTTAATCTCATCTGCACCACCCTATCACAAACTGGGGCCGTGGAACAGGGCTCTGACGTTGTTAGCGCAGTCAGTGAGCAGTGACTAATTAAGACACGACTGCATTAGTCACTTTGGAGGTGACAACTGAGCAGCATGTTTCTGGTTCGTGTCTGAGAGATCCTGACACACTTTTCAATTATGTGGAACTAATAGTGTGTGGCTTCCACGCAGCCGTGTCGGGTGGGAGAGAAGGGGAAGTCTGGAGTGAAAGCATGACTCACTGTGGGCAGCGGTGGTTTTGTTCCCAGCTCACCTACTCCTCACTGCCTTCGTCGCACTTCCTTTTGAAAATCACAAAAGGTGACACCAGGGTGACTGGCATAAGGGGTGCCAGAGGGCCTCTTTCAGAAGGCTTTTTGGTTTCTGCCACTGCTCCCAGGAGAATTATGAGAACTCCGAGAGGGAACCAGGTGACCTGGAAGCCTCAGTCGTTTCAGTAGGTGCCTGTTGAAAACCCAGGCGTTGATAACTCTGGTCTCCCAAGTCTCGGTGCACCTCTTGACTGGCCCTCCTCAGGGCCTGGTACAGGCCGTGCCGGGAGAAGCATGAAGACCCAGGAGAACCAAAACCCCGTAGCCATGAGGAAAAGGAAATGTTTTCCTCCTCACATAATCCCAACCAAACTAGGAATGTTGCTAAAATAGCTTTCCTTTTTGTTTCCCCAAGGGCATTAACACAGCAGTTTTACGAACAAACCAGATTAGCATAGTGCATTTTTATGTTCCTGAACTAGAGCTGAAGATTCCTTTCCTCCTTCCAGGCTTGTGAGATCCCTAAGGGGCATCTCTCCAGCGACAAGAGGATGTTCTTGCAGGTGTGCTGATGTCAGTCTGTGGGGGGCAACAGAAGGGACAGAGCTACTTGCATCTTTTTCTTTTGTAACCGTGAGTGAATCATGTGGAGCTCTGGCTCCCCAGCCGGGCTGATGGCATGATGCCCAAGCACACTGGCGACTTGTCCTCACCTCCTCTCAGCTCTCCTGCAGCAAACCTGAAAACACAGGGCCGAGAGCCAAACTCTGAGTGGAAGGGCCCCAGAGGTGTCCTGCCTGCGGCCTTTCTTCCGTCTGCACCATCCCTGGGGAAATCCACTCGTGTCCGTGTCTGCCTTCTGAAGTACAAGAGCAGGGTTTCATTTCTAAATGGCACGTAGTGTTGCATACTTGTCATCAGTCATACCCCGGGCTAGCTCCCTGTTCTAACTCACTGGGTGAACTTGAACGAGTCTCCCTCACCCCACCAGTTATGTAGTGCTCAGCGTGTGCCACATACTGAGTGAAGACACTTTACATGTGTTCGCTGTTAAATCTTTACAGCAGCCCCATCTATTGTCTGCATGTTACAGGTGAAGAAACTGAGGCACAGAGAAGTGGCTTGATTTGCCGTGGGCCACCAGCTAGGAAGAAAGTGGCAGGACCAGGGTCGTCCCCCGTCTGCCTGATTCCTGACCCCCGGCCCTTTACCTCGAGCTCAGTTCCTCTCCGACTAAACAAGGCGGTGGATTTGATCTGTGGTGGGAACACTGAGCCCAAGAGGATGGAGGGACTATCCTGCTCCTGCTCCACCTGGAGCAGCATCATTTTTACCTGTTTTAGAATTTGAAGGTTGATTTAAGTTTGCTTGAAAGAAGGGTTCTTTTTATTTAAGAAACAAAACAAAATAAGTTTGACATCCACAGGATTTGAATCTTTTAAACCTCCTCCCTGGCCTTCCCTGACTCACTTTCTCCTACAGTTCCTCCTCTGCCTCAGTCTTCATTCCATCTTAAAGAAGGTAAGGGAATTGTTTTGCACAGGCATGGGAAATAGCACAAATAAGAAATATTTGAGGGGGCTGGT